CATGTTTACCTACCAACTAAACAGTTGTTGAATTCTCCACAAGCGGTTATGGTTTTTCCTAGCAATATCATTTTTTATTTAAATTTAATTCTTTTATTACAATTTCAAGTTGCAGGCCCACGCAATATGTGTCTATTTGGATGAAATGTGTGGGCCCGATGTTTGTTGGATTAAAATAAGGTGGTGGGGTCTCATTGGCTTTCTTTGTTTGGTCCCAGTGAGAGAATATTCTTGAAAGAGAGAAGAATAAACTGGAGTTTCGTGTTTGGGATTGGGTAAAAGAATAGAATAAACTGGAGCTTCGTGTTTGGGTAAAAGAATAGACTACACTAAACATGCTTTAAATTTTTTTTTACGAAAGAGCTTTTGTGCCATTGGTAAAGTTAGAACTGTCTAAATATAATACGATTTGTTAATATAATATGAAATTAAGGGTTTTAATTCATTTTTAAAATCATCCATTTCGTAAATGGGTGAACCCGTCACAACATAATTAATAAATGAATTGAGTATTAATTAAGTCAATCAAGATAAATATACGACACCACACAACTCGTTTGTATAGCGATTATACAGGGTTTCATACGCAACATGACTCGTTAGATACGAATTATTAAATAAATTGAGTATGAGTGAAGTATTTTTTTTGACAAAAATCCACTAAAATCCGACATGACTGATAGACCGAGTTAAAATGATAATAAAATTTGAGTGATTAATTAAGAATTACTTTTTATATAATATGTACGTTTCGGCCGAAGTCTAATATAATTTATGTGGACACCAACAGCTCTTTAATTTACTCTCTTGCCTAATTAATAGTAGAGTTAACATACACTGAATAAATATGAATATGGCAGTAGTTGGCCTAAAAGAAAGAAGGCAGTCAATAACTAATTCAAGAAATGTGCACCAAGTAACGAGTCAATTTTTACCTTCAAAGATAGAAATTTGTATCAATGCACATCTCAAGCTATTAGTCGTCAGTGTGTCGTATAAAACTAAATGGATAAATTACACATAAACCTCTTCATGTTTATCACTTAATCACCTAAACTCATCACATTTGAAATATTACCCCTATATTCCTTAAGAATCCAAACATAACTAAAAATGTTATTTCAATTAGTCATTCAAATAATTCTGTTTAAATGATGTATTACATTAGATAAAAAAAATATTACATAAATACTTATATTATATTGGGCATTCAAATGATAAGTTTGGGGTTATCCCACATCGGATAGCTTTGGGTGCGTGTGTGTGTTTATAGGGCCTTCTGCCGCTTCCACTTTTAAGTGAAGGTTTCAGAATGATTCTTCTGANGGGTGCGTGTGTGTGTTTATAGGGCCTTCTGCCGCTTCCACTTTTAAGTGAAGGTTTCAGAATGATTCTTCTGATCAAAAAAAAGAAGAAACTTATGATTGAGCACCGTCACACGCGTCTGAGTGAGTGTGGGATCTCAGTCTTTCTAAAAAAGGTGGTACATAAGTGTGTCCTTGGGGGCTGGGGCTATCCCACATCGGATAGCTTTGGGTGCGTGTGTATGTTTATAGGGTCTTTTGCCGCTTTCACTTTTAAGTGAAAGTTTCAGAATGGTTCTTCTGATCACAAAAAAAAAAAAAAAAAATGATAAGTTTAATTTTAAACTTTATAATATAACGGACCCACAAAAAAAATGATAGTATGAAATNAAAAAAAAAAAAAATGATAAGTTTAATTTTAAACTTTATAATATAACGGACCCACAAAAAAAATGATAGTATGAAATTATAATTTTTTATTAAAATAAAATTATAGTTGTGAAGGTTGGGTTCATCTCAAATTAAATTATCAGAGGTTTTCGACCTCTTGAAGCGGGTCTTTTATTTTCTTATTTTATCTTTCATTTTGTTTATATTTTTTTTAAAAACATGCTCGAAACTGCTAGTATCAGAGCGGTGATCATATTAATGACTATCTTACGGAAATTAACACATACTAGAAGGCTTCAACAGAGTTCAAAAATTATTTCGAGAGAGAAATTTAAGATGTGGGCCAACAGGATCCCGTGTAAAAACACGTGACCACTCAGATGAACGTAGAGATGAACCAAGTAGGGTTCAAGAAGCATCACGAACTTGAGTACAATGAAGACAGAAAGACAAGAAGATAAGGGATATTTACTAGTGAGACACAATCCTATGCCACCACATGAGAGACACGACAGTTAATGGAGGTGCATCAAACATCAATTGCGCTTGGACTGTGACATTAAAGAGCCCACTCATCGAGTGAATGGATGTCTACNTGTGCTTTGTCATTGCATTTAGATATTTGGTACAAACTATTCCACAATTTTATTAGTATATTGCACTGAATACTTCTTGCACTGTTAACATGTACACATCTGGCCACTGGAATAATCTGGGATAATCACTCTTTTGCTCTTCGGCAGCTGACCACACAATGCATCTTTCTTAAGTTGCATGGAAGGTTCAACTTCACTAATAATGTCTTTCCTGTATACATGACAAGGGTAACATGAAGGAAGCATGTATAAACATATAATATGTTGTTACAATTAATACCACCTAGTGTGCGGATGTAAAATTTATCTGTATCCTTTGCATTACTTCATTGATAAAATCAAATAAACATGAAAGAACGCACGAACCTCACATTCACCATAACAAAACTTAAAAACCATGAAACCTCAATTTGTTTATAACTACTAACCAATATATTTAACAACTATGCACCCAACATCTACAACACCCTTGCCAAAATGCCAAATATTACTATACAACAAAAGATTCACCAAAAATATTCTTAAGATTCTTAAGTTGCATGAAAGGTTCAACTTCACTACACTGTCTTTCCTGTATACATCACAATGGCAAAGTGAAGAAAGCGTGTCTAAACATCTAATTATGTTGTTACAATTAATCCCACCTAATGTGCAGATGTACAATTTATCTGCATCATTTCCATTACTTCATTGTTAAAATCAAATTAACATGAAAGAAAACACAAACATCACATTCACCGTAACAAAACTCAAAAATCATCCAGCCACAATTTGTTTAGAACTACTAGCCAATATATTTAACAACCATGCACCCAACATCTACAACACCCTTGCCAAAATGCCTAGTCTGAAACTATACAACAAAAGATTCACAAAAAAAACACAAAACCAATGTGTCATTTGTTGATGTACTCTTTAAAGTCCTTATGAAAACAATCTAATTTTGTCTCGAGACGCTGCAACGACCCCTTCGTTTCATCTTCGAACTTTTCAAATCGGGCCTCCAACTTTTCAGCCATTTGCTAAAGTGTTTGTCCAACCTTACTAGTACCAACATCAGAACCACCTTGATTAGCCCTAGCCTGATTACCTACAACCTGAGACACCGCTGATGGCTACCTCACATGCTTGGCTCGTTTCACACCCAGAATAGCTCCCACACTTTTATTAAGTGTACCCATACCCATTGCATTCATGGGGTACATAAAACTGTCATTCTGTTGAAATTCAACCCCACTATGCTTCAAAATCTTGAAAATTAATATTGAAAATAGAAGACATAGCTTGCAAACCTTGACAGTAGATGCTTTGCGAACATGGTTGAATATGTAAAGGGGTAGATCAATAATAACCCCACGTTTAGCAATAGCATATAATAGTTGAGTTGTATCTTATCCAATCTCAGTAGTATGACCCCTCGGATGTATATTATAGGTAACAATTCGGTTTATCATCCTATACGGTGGAGTAAGGTCAAAGTGAGCAATTTTGCTTTTCTCATTCTCCCAAGGGACACTCCCAATACAAATACGTTGAATAACCATCGCCATTTCGGGAACCTGCTCCTTACATGAATATGGAAAGATAATGGAATTCTCAGGAAAGTCTGGTATATCAATTTTTAATATATTGGAAATAAGATCAGGCGAAACAGTGATGGATTTCTTCCTAACCAGTGTCTTAAATGTCAGCTCATTCTCCTTGTACTCATTAACATTTGCGTAAAAAAACTTAACCAGATCAACGTATACTTTATCTTCCACATTCATATCAAATAGAGGATCCCATTTTTGAGCCCGAAGTATTTAAGGGGAATCCACACTGCCTACAAGCTCATCGAGGTAAACATCACGCTCAAGTAGCAGATGACGTTTAGCAATGAATGTATCATACCTCTTCTTAGCATCTTTATCTACAAAGAGTTTCGCATTACCAGAACTCCCCCCGCTAACCACCTGCTTCCGTTTCTTCGTCTCTCCGCCCAACATCAACAAAGCTCCAAAGGGAAACTTCACTCTTCTTCAGCAATTATTCACAACAAACATTCACAGTGGAAATTTCACTCTTCTCCGTATAAAGATTCACAATGGAAGTAGTTTGTGTAGGCGATCGCATTTGTGTACACGATTGATGAAAGGGATTTGGGGTGGTGGGTGATTTAGGGTTTATGGAATTGAGAGATTTTGAATGAATTTTGTAGGCGTGAGCGATTTAGGGGTAATTTTGTAGGATTTGAGGATTTATTTGCGTATCATCTGATGTTTATTTACTACAAAGTCCCCCTTACAACCCTTTAATTAATTACTCTTTGTGGGCATTTAAGTAAATACATCATACCTGATCTATCATATTTATTTTCGATCGATTGTAATTCACTTGCCCCTTCAACTTCTACATCTGTAACTCCATGATCGATCATTATACATAATTGATTGATCAGATGTCTCCAGTATTTATGATTTGCAACAATATGATCGATCACTATAAAATTTTGATCGATCGAATTAGCTTACTACTTACTGATCTATCATATTGTTTACATGATCGATCAAATCTCCCCAGTATTTTTTTTTAACTTCTGATTCACATTAGATATCTGCAACAATTGGATTGATTAATATACAGTTTTGATCGATCAAATTCATTTACTGCTTACTGATCTATCTTTTTTTTTTTTTTACGATTGATCAAATATCCTCAGTACTTTTACTTCTGATTCACATTACAAATCTACAATAACATGATCGATCAATATATATGTTTGATCGATCGAATTTACTTACTAATTTGATCGATCAAAATTTTTAACGATCGATCCTCTCTCCCAGTACTTTTATTACTTATGATTCATATTTCAATTCTGCAACAATATGATCGATTAATATGATTTTTTTGATTGATCAAATACACTTATTACTTACTGATCTATCATATTTTTACACGATCGATCAGACCCACATAATACTTTAATTACTTTTGATTCAAACTACAGACNTACTTATTACTTACTGATCTATCATATTTTTACACGATCGATCAGACCCACACAATACTTTAATTACTTTTGATTCAAACTACAGACCTGTACCAATATGATCGATCACCATATACGTTTGATTGATCGAATTCAATTACTTTTCGTTTTTCTTTTTTCACTATACTTACCACATACTGATCGGTCATATATTTATTTGATCGATCAATACTAATGATTGATCATATATTATACTGATCGATCTATTACGTTGACTACAAGTCTATTATCCTTGTAAATTTATCCACTATAGTTATAAAATATATCTTTAATTTTGTACGTATCCCAATTACGTTTGTACATTTCTTACTGATGTAATAAATACTCCATCACTTTTGTAGTTTGTTCACTGATTTTCAAAATTTCTCACTGTTGTTATAATTATTCCATTCATTCTGTAATTTGCCCACTAATATCGTTAACCTCGTAATGATTTTGTAAAAATACCTTATTGAGCCAATATAATCGATCATTCATATTCGTGATCAGTCAAATTATATATATTTTTATTTTTTTTCAAAAATTCTTTTTTTTTACATCACTCCTTACCACATATTGATCGATCATATGTTTATTTGATTGATCGATCATATATTACATTGATCGATCAATTACGTTGACTACAACTATAGTATTCTCGTAAATTTATCCATTATGCTTGTAAATATATTTTTACATTTGTACCTATCCCAATTACTATTGTACATTTCTTACTGATGTAGTAAATACTCCATTACATTTGAAGTTTGTCACTGAATTTCAAAATTTTTCACTCTTGTTGTAATTATAACATTAATTTTGTACTTTTACCTAGTAATATCGTTAACATTGCAATGATTTTATAAAAACATCTTAGTGAGGCACCATGATCGACATTGATATTCGTGATCGGTCAAATTATATATTTATTTATTTTCCAAAATTTCATTTTCTTATACAACACCTTACCACATAATGATCGATCATACATTTATTCGATCGATCATAAATTACATTGATCAATCACTTATTACATTGACTACGAATCGTAAATTTTTTCACTTTTATTGTAAATATACCTTTATTTTTGTACCTTTTCCATTATTTTTTTACATTTCTTGTTAATAGTGTAAATACCCCATTATTGTTGTACTTGGTTCTACTGATTTTATAAAAATATCATTGTCGTCGTAAATCTTGAAAGTAATATTGTAAATATTCAATTATCTTTGTAATTCACTCATCGTTGTAGTACATCTTCCCATCCATNGTCGTAAATTTTTTCGTAAATATACGTTTACTTTTGTACCTTTCCCATTATTTTTTTACATTTCTTATTAATAGTGTAAATACCCCATTATTGTTGTACTTGGTTCTACTGATTTTATAAAAATATCATTGTCGTTGTAAATCTTGGAAATAATATTATAAATATTCAATTATCTTTGTAATTCACTCATCGTTGTAGTACATCTTCCCATCCATCATTGTTCTACATTGTAAGTGAGCAACCGGGCAATCTAGTTGCTCTACTTTTGCTTTACACATGTCCATTTCTTCTTCATTCAGCGGTGGTTTTTTTAACTTTTCGCCGGCATAGATTTTTAGTACCCTACCGAAAATTCAAGGAGATGTACCGTAGTCTAATCCTTGTCATGTNCAGTTGCTCTACTTTTGCTTTACACATGTGCATTTCTTCTTCATTCAGCGGTGGTTTTTTTAACTTTTTGCCGGCATAGAGTTTTAGTACCCTACCGAAAATTCAAGGAGATGTACCGTAGTCTAATCCTTGTCATGTGGCCGGGTCTAGTTGTCAAATCATAATCAAAGATTTTGAAGCCCCTTTAAGAAGCGAAAGAATATTTATGTGGTGCTAAAATTGGCCAAGAAATGGGAGGGATAAAAAAAAGAAGTAATGGGTGATTATGCCGATTTGGAATGAAGATTATTTTATGGTGGACCTCAGAAAGGATGGTGGATATACCTGACGACGGTGGCAGTGGTAGTATAGGATGAAGAAAAAAGTGAAAGGGTAGGGAAAAGATGGGTTAGAAAGAGAGAGAGAGAGAGATGAAATACTATTTGCCGTCCAATTCAGCGAGACAAAATGGAAGAGTGGCAAACTTCATGGAGATATTTTCTTAAAAAAACTGTGTGTGAATGTCATTTGATAAAAGTTTAAGGTATGTCAGTGAAATTTTTGTAATATTAATGTTACAGANGGCAAACTTCATGGAGATATTTTCTTAAAAAAACTGTGTGTGAATGTCATTTGATAAAAGTTTAAGGTATGTCAGTGAAATTTTTGTAATATTAATGTTACAGAACATTTGAAAAGCCATAATTTCTCAAATGAATGTCAGAAGATGCATGTGTTGGGCACATTAAAAATCCTAGCAATTCCAGATCAATTATGTGACCCACCGACACCATGGACTNAATTTTAATATTTCGTTTATTTTATAATATATCACTTGTTTGAATTTCAATATTTTTTAATATCAGAACTCCATAAAAATGTAACAAAAACAGTGTTCGATAGTNTTTAATATTTCGTTTATTTTATAATATATCACTTGTTTGAATTTCAATATTTTTTAATATCAGAACTCCATAAAAATGTAACAAAAACAGTGTTCGATAGTTTTGTGCATGTGATAACAAATTCAAAACAGATATGAACTGTTTTGAATGAAATTATATAAAAATATATGTTTGACAAAATGTAATAGTACAATATTTTGTGTAAATGATTTATTACACTATTATTGTTACACTGTACACTCTTCGGATATTAATATAATTTGAAAACAAAATCACTTTTTAAAAAAAAATACGTATAAATAAAGGTGAGTTAAATATAATTTGAAAACAAAACTACTTTAAAAAAAACGCATGAATCAAGGGAGGTCATACAAATATAGAATATTAAAATTCTCCCATAAAACTATGAGATGTTTAATGCACAACTTTTCAAAGAAAATACACATTAATCAATGAAAGACAAAAATATCACAAAAAATTAGTAAAATTCAAATAATGTACTTGGATACAAATAAATATCAAAATTAAGGACTTAATTACCCAATATTTTTTTTATACTTTTTTACTATTAAGTTTAATTTGTTGTGCTCCTTTCTAATTTTCCCTTTTCTCTATGTAATAGATGTGTGCTACTGTACCCTGCGCTGAAGCCCATCCCAATCCCATGCAGTTTAATTCCCACTTTGAGTTTTCTCTCTGCTCTCATCTAAGCTATAGCCCATAAGTCATGTAAGGTTGGACTATCATAGGGGCTCTCACCCTATTCTCCTAGAAGGGCATTAAACTAATTGGACTAACAGGCCCATAACACTGACTACGTATTTTGAGTCTCTGTTTTTTGGGAGTGTAGATTATTCCCACCTTTTAAAACTCTTTTTTCCCTTATTTAATTATTTTATTTTAAATAATTAAATTTATCTCATGTATATCCACCTCATTAGTTATTGAATTTATCTTATTTATATTCATTCAATTAAAATATCAAATATATGTCAAAGAAATCAAAATAAAAATAATGATTGAAACGAAATTTCAATGTTTTGAAGTGATTTATATTATTTTAATATATTTTTATCAATATTTTTAGAATATTTTAAAATATTTTAACTAATATTTTAAAAATAATTATTAATTTTTATTCTGTNCAATATTTTTAGAATATTTTAAAATATTTTAACTAATATTTTAAAAATAATTATTAATTTTTATTCTGTATTGACTAGATAGTAGGTTGAAATAAGATTAAATGAATTTAACTTTTAATTATTGAATATAAATAAGGTGAGTTTAATAATTAAAGCGGTGAATTAAATGAGATCAATTTAGTAGTTTAAAGTATAATTATTAATTGAGTTGGAAAATGACATTTAAGGGGCGGGAATAATCCCACCACTTCCACCTTTTTTTGGGACAGCTGTCCAACAGCGGTGACACACACATGCGCCCCGCAAGCCACTGTATGTATACATCTATCTATTCTGTCTTCCTTAACGACGAAGGGTTCAAACTTCAAAGGAAATTCACGGGGCTAGATCGTAGTTTCAGTAAAATTAAAGGCGCTTTTTGTAATTACTTATATTACACGTAATAAATTCCTTGGAGACAACTGAACTTAGGAATCCATATCTTCAGCAAAGGATATTCTGCAACTATCCGTCCGTTTAGAGAGAGAGAGAGAAATGGGTTTGCTCTCCAACAGGTAAAAAATAATCCTTTGATCATCCAAGTTGCAGACTCTCTTATCAGTTTTAATAACAATCTTAATTTGTTAATTGAAATGCAGAGTGGATAGAGACAGCCTCAAACCCGGCGATCACATCTACTCCTGGCGCTCTGTTTATATTTACGCTCATCATGGTCAGAACTCTCTCTCTCTCTCTCTATATATATATATATATATGTATGTATAAACCGTGTTTATATATCATGGTCAGAGCCCGTTCTGACTGAATTTGATTGTTCAAGAGCTGTGCACATGAAATGTGAAAAGATTAAGAGTAATGGTATACTGACTAAAATTTAAGACCAAATTTAGAACGCAAATAACATGACAGTTGTTTATTTGAAGTTAAGAGTAAAATTTATGCTTGTATTTGTTTCTAGAAAAGGTTCTTTTCCTGTTGATATTTAGTTTAGGGTTTCAAATATGTTGCAAATTTTTTTTTGTTATTTTTTTTTAAATATGTTGCAAATGGGTAGCCAGAGAATAGTTCATAAGCTTACTGAACTGTAACAAAATTTAGAAAAAACATAAGCTGGTTGATATTTCTCCTTATTGGCCCTCGCCTTGATTTTAAGGAGGATGGATACTTCAGAAGAACACCAAATTCCCTATGACATTAATTATATGCATCTGTTTTAGACCTACTGATATTTTATGCATGAATTGCCAAAACATTTTTGCAAGAAACGAAGTCTAGGGTTCAAATTCGTTTATTTTTGGGTTTTAATTGCTCATACATGACGCTAGTTCTTGTATTGTGATACCACGTATGTAGTGTTGTTAAGGGGGTGGATGAGGGTTCATGGGAAGTGTTTAAAGATTTTCATTTTTATGTGGATTCATGTAAGATACACGTCTAATAACGGAACCAATTCAGTGGTTTTAGTCCATTGACATTGCAGCTCAGCCTTCACTGTGGACCTTTTCTAAAGACTTCTGTAAGGTACATGCAAAATTGCATTAGGAGACCATCTGTTTGTCGCAACTTTGTGAAATTTGCCATTGCAAACATCAATTTATGAAAGAGTTGCACGTTAAGCAGCTCTTAACATGTAGGGGTAAATGATTCTTGTGAAACTTAGGTTTTTTGTAGAACCAAAAAATAGAGGAAATTCCAGAATATGTTTAGGTTGCCAGCTAAAGACACAGGTCCTCTTAACTGATAAATTAATGCTGTAATCACTGGACCTTGGATTAGAACTTTGGGTTGTATTCTCGAGGTTCTATCTGTCTTCCTGTCCTCACTGGTCAATATCTAGTCTGGGTAATGTTGTCCAGAAGATGTTGTAGACTGACATAGAGGTTTTATTATGCAGATGATTTCGGTTTATTAATTTATATGCCACTTTAATTTCATTTTGGTGATTGAAGTTCTCTTTCTCTATTTGATTCATCAGTAATAACAACATACTTACATTTATGTTTGCTCATTTGGTCACTGATAACTTAAACTATGTCATATCATATCATATGAATGCTAGGTATCTATGTTGGGGATAATAAGGTCATTCATTTTACTAGACGCGGCCAAGAGTTAAGAATAGGGACAGTGCTGGATGTCCTCTTGGTAAGCTCAAGATCATCCCGAACCCATGTGCCGTGCTCCACGTGCAATCCGCAAGATGAAGATCATGGAGTAGTCTCCTCGTGCCTGAACTGCTTCCTTGATGGTGGCATCCTGTACCGTTTTGAGTATGCTGTTAATCCTACTCTCTTTCTCGCAAAAGCACGTGGCGGAACTTGTACTCTTGCCATCTCAGATCCAGACGATGTTGTAGTTCATCGAGCAAACTACCTATATACCAATGGCTTTGGATGCTATAATGTATTTAATAACAATTGTGAAGACTTTGCTATCTACTGCAAGACAGGACTGCTTGTTCTGGATCAGAGAACAATGGGGCAGAGTGGACAAGCAGTATCTATTATAGGTGGCCCTCTTGCCGCTGTGTTGTCTACACCATTGCGCCTTGTGACAAACAATGTCTATGGAATGGCAGTAACAGCTGTTGGGGTCTACTGTGCTAGTCGTGTTGCTGCTGACATTGGCATGAGGAGCGATGTCTTGAAGGTATCTGTGGAGGATCTGACAAGAAGGCTAGCAACATGTACACTTCAGGTTGTCGAACCAAGTCTTCCAGCTGTTGCACCTCCGGGCAGTTAGCCTTTGTTTTCTATGATTTAAAAGTTGTTAGTTTTACACTATTATATCTTGTTATGTGGCTAAGTAATGCTCAAACATGATTGGTACTTGTATGTTGTTGTATTGTAATGTGTTTTTTGTTTGTTCAAACATATTTTTCTGGGAAAATTACATTTGTATTCTGTAAATTGTGGCCTTGGTTTGTTTGGCTTCAATTTGGCACTTATGTTTCCAGATTCTGGTCGAGTCAACTAGTTTATAGCAGTTAATTTGGCCACGGAAAATAGTCACGTGCATGTTACGTATAATTTGCATAATTTGTGTTGAAATTTGGAAATCATTTACCCCATCTTTGTTGGTTTTCTATCAACCAGTTCGACTTAAAATACCATCCTGGGATGGGTGAAGGGGTATGCTTTGTGCTTGCCCAATGAGAAAGGCCTTGACTCAGCCAACCAAATAAAAATCAAATTGAAAGAAGAGAGTGGAAGGAGAAGAGAAATTTTTTTTTGGCAACTCTTTAGGGGTGGTGTTTAACCTATTTCTTTGATTACTTGGTGTTCACAAAACCTTTTGCCTGAAAACCATGCTATAAAGACACCCTTAAACCCAAATATGGTAAGGTTTTGCTCCAAACATTCTATGTGAGCAATCTCAATTGGCAATGATACACATGCCATTAAGATAAGTACATGCTCTAGTAATACTAGTTGGCTTCAGCAGACCTGCCCTCCTCTGAGTTTGAACCATTTACAGTAGTAATCCCTGTGTGTTAGATATTGCTGGAGGAGTTGAATATTCAGTTTGTTCTCGGTGGTGTTGTAGTGACGGGTTCAACCATTCCAGGTTAATAGTTATGGTTTAAACTGAACATTCTATAGAGATTGAAAATTTCAAAGTAGTGTCCTCAGAGTTGCTATGCCACTTGTCATCCCTAACCGCCCTTTTTTTTAGCAAAAAAAAAATTACACGCTCTATTTTTAGTGTAGTAATATGTAATTTAGTGAGTGAGTGTGTGTGTGAGAGAGAGAGAGAGCATACAAACTTGCCATCGATGCAAATTCTAAAGTTGGAACAGGATTTGGGTCACATTGGATCCAACCTTGTAGAATAAATCTCATATACCTAAAATTATTAACCAAAAACAATGAAGCACCTAAGTTCATTTTTGACCATGACTCAAATTTAGACTCAAATTTAAGTAAAAAAACTTAATTTGGTATAAAACACTCCAAATATTTACTTAAATCGTTTAAACAAATTTGTTACAGTCTCGAAGCTCATTTTTTAATTTTTTTCTACCAAAATTTTTTATCATCTCTCATTCTACTGTTTCATTCCCTTTAAAAACCTCTATCCCTCTCAATCATTACTCTAAAATTAATTTCTCACAGTTCTCAAAAGATTTGGACTATAGGCAAAAACCATTTATTCGAATTGTAACTCAAAGATAATAAGACTTAGAAAATTAAAATAGAAAATCATTATCATATATATTTCCAATTGTACAACTAATTCTAAAATAGAAAAGAAGAAACAGAAAATGCTCTTTAATATTAAAACATGTTTCTTACAAACTACACAAATATTAACCAAAAAAAAGCATAAATATCAACCTTTAAGTGGTAGATTCGTGAGCTTTTTACTAAGTACGAAAGATGAGAGAGGGAGATAAATTTTTTGAGAATAAATTTATAAGAGAGAAAAAGGATAAAGAGAGAGAGTAAATAGTTACCGTAAAAAAATATAGGTAAGAAGAGACAGTGTGATTGACGGTAATGGTAGCGATTTTGAAGATAGAGACAAGAGAGACAAGAATTTGTTTTGTCGAAGGAGGGTTCGACTCTTTTGGGTTTGGATAGGATAAAAAATTATTGTTAGAAATTTAATATATGATTTAAGTCTATCTCAATTGGGTCAAAAATAAGTTTTTTCTTTAGTCATTAGCAATTTGGTATAAGGTTGGAAAAAAATGTTGGACTATTTTGACTCAAATTTAAATTGAGCCTAAATTTAAGTTTTTTTTTATTAATTACTTTATCTGTTTTTAAATATCTGTTGTTTTACATAATTTTTTTTGTGCCATAATATCTGTTGTTTAATGAAACTAAAGCATAATTAATATTTTTTTTTTCAAATTTATCCTTAACTTTTTAATGCAGTAGATTAGATGGAAGCTAAGTATTTTTTATATTTATTTATTTCTCAATACGTATTGAATAAGAGTATTTTAGTCTTGTGTAATTATTTTTTACTCATATTACAGTTATTTAATAGCTTTTTTAATCTCTGTGTAAAAATTTTAAACGACATATATTTAGGAACGGATGAATAACATTTAAGTCAAAGTTAGTGCTGTTTGCAAAATCATAAAAGTCCAAATTAGAGCTCCTTTCTCACGGTATCCGAACTGCATTGCATATGGAATTTAAATACTAGTATTAATAGAGTCTGTGATCCAAGAGACTTTCNTCACGGTATCCGAACTGCATTGCATATGGAATTTAAATACTAGTATTAATAGAGTCTGTGATCCAAGAGACTTTCGCATGGCAACTTCTAAAGGACAAAAAAATCAAAATCATACGTACACGGATTTCTAGAACAAAACATCGACTGGTTCATTCTTAAAAATCACAAAGCAACGTAGTTATTGATTGAATACAACTAATGTGTCTAACACATGCATACGCAGAATGTGGATGATATCATGAAGAAGAAAACGAAATGGAGTTACAGAGCAGATACCCAAATCTACCTCTGCTTCATTTCAATTAGATTACATCTCAAAAAAAAAAAAAAAANATTTTTAGGCAAAATTCCGGAGAACATTGGTAATTTAACTTTGTTGAAAGATCTCAATCTGAATGACAATGACCTCGTTGGCCTAATCCCTGATAGCTTGGCAAGTATGGATTTATTCAGTCTAGACTTGAATAACAATCAATTCATGGGTCCAATACCAAAGTTCAAAGCTGCCAATGTTACCTATGAATCAAATCCGTTTTGTCAATCTATTCCCGGGGTTCCTTGTGCCCCAGAAGTCATGGCGCTCTTGAAATTCCTTGATGCAATTAATTATCCATCTAAGTTTGCTTCTGCATGGTCAGGTAACAATCCATGTGATGGACCATGGTTGGCATTGACTTGTGACGTCAACAGAAAGGTTTCTACAGTAACCTTGCCCGAATCTAATCTTACTGGTACTTTGAGTCCTTCAATTGCAAACCTGGATTCCCTTACTCAAATCATACTTCGATCTAACCAGTTAACTGGTCCAATTCCAACAAATTGGACTAGCTTAAAATCTTTGACATTGTTGGATTTGAGCAACAACAACCTTTCCCCACCTCTGCCAAATTTCAATAGCACTGTAAACCTTGTGTTATATGGGAATCCTTTATTAAACTCTAATACTTCCAGACCAACCGCTCCGCCAGGTAATAGTCCATCTGAGGGTTCACAGCCACGCACCCCACCACCTTCACCAACTACTGGATCAATTTATAATAACGTGCCAACCGTAGGGTAGAGTTCCAACAAGTCTAAACTAGTTGCAATTTTTGCAGTCTTGGTATGTCTGGTTGTGCCTCTATCTATTTGCTCCCATTAGAGGAGAAGAGACAAGTACCAAGCTCCAAGTTCCATTGTGATTCATCCAAGAGACTCATCTAATCCAGATAATTTGGTCAAGATCATAGTGTTGAGGTTATGTTGTAATTAGCTCTTAGTTAAAGGATCTTGCCTGTAATTAGTTTATCTTATTCTATTAGGGTTGTATATAAACCATGTTAATGAATGAAATAAAGAGGTGTTGTTTTTCTCCCAATTTTCATGGTATCAGAGCCGAACAAATTTTTTTAACCCTAATCATCGTTCTCATCTATCATCATGGGTGAGAAGATCGAATTATCTGGATCGAAAATAGCTCCGGTGTTTGTTCAAGTTGAAGGGCCTTTCAACGCTGGAATCATTCTTACCGAATAAAACTACGATGTCTGATCCCAAATGATGGAGATGCATATTGCCAAGAGGGAGAAACTTTTCTCTATTTACGAAAAAACCCAGCAACTGGCTGAATCCGATGATGGGTATGGAAAATGGTATTTTGAAAATCAAAAAGTGAAAATGTGGTTATTGATATCAATGACCCTAGAAATCATGAAGCGTTATTTACGCGTATCCACCGTCCGTGAAATTTGGGTTGCTCTATCAACTATTTTTTATGATGGCAGCGATGAACTCCAGGTATACTCCTTGAATCAAAAGGCTTTTACTGCGAAACAAGGGGAAAAACTCCTCTTTGTATATTATGGGGAGTTATGCGAGCTTTTCTGTGAATTGGATCACTGTGATAAAGTAATTATGGAGAACTCTAATGATATTGCAGCGTATAAGAAATCCATCCAATGACAATGGGTACACATTTTTCTTGCCAAATGAGGAATTTGAACAGGTTCGTGGAGAAATCCTTCGCAAGGACTCTCTCCCAACTTTGGAAAAAGTGTTATGGGATAATCCGACGTGAGGTTGTTCGTCGGGCCACTACGAATGTGGAATTAGAAAATATGGATTCCTCATTCATGGTGGCTCATAATTGGCCAAACTTAAAATTACAGGAGCAATCTCGCCCTCAACAGACTCAACCCTAAGATCAATCGCGCTCGTATGCTCGCTCCCGGGGTACTACGAAACAATCATACAAATGTATCCATTGCGATCAAACTGGGCACACAAAAGAGAGTTGCTACGAGCTTGTTGGTTACCCAGAATGGTGGGATCACAACTGTGATTCAAAGAAAAGAGGGGCTGGTCGGAATGCGACTGTTGTATTAATGGAAGGAACGGTAGATGGAGTTAATGAAGTTGTCAAACGTGCCACTGCATTGATAACAACGGTAGGTAACAATATTGATAAGGCTTTAAATATGTCTGTACCTGTTTTGAATAATACATGGATAATTGATTCAAGTGCAACAGATCATATGACATTTGATTCTAACCAGATTTTATCCTTAAGCCAATATTCCCAGAAATGTGTGTCAATTGCTAATGGTGCCTCCGCTCCAGTTATTGGAGAAGGGGTTGTGTCACTTATAGATACTTTAAACTTGGAGTTTGTTCTAATTGTTCTATCCTTGAAATATAATTTATTGTCAGTTGCTCAAATAACCTTGACCTTACACTGTGTTGTGATTTTTTGGCCTGATTTCTGTGTTTTTAAGGACATCCGAATGAGACAAACGATTGGTTATGGTGTTAGGCGAGGGAAGCTGTACTACCTGGAACTTGTGTCAAAGAGTTATGACAAGCTAAGCAAGGCATTGGCAGGGGATAGTTTTGCAGGGGAGAAGAAAAAAACTGAAATTTGGTTATAGCACCGACGTTTAGGACATGCCTCATTTGGTTATTTGAAGAAGTTGTTTCCTAGTTTATTTTCCAAAGATGATATTTCAGTTTTTCGTTGTGTGAACTTGCGAAAAGCCACCGTGTTTCCTTCCTAGTAACTTTAAATAAAAGTCTCATTCCTTTTATACTTATTCATTATGATGTTTGGGGTCCATCTCCGGTTACTACCATGAATGGATCACGTTGGTTTGTCACATTTATTGATGATTGTACTAGGATGACTTGGGTATGCTTAATGAAGTCTAAAAAAAAGGTAAATTTGTTGTTTTTGAAATTCCATACCATGATTCAGACTCAATACAAAGCACAGGTTCAAGTTCTTCGTAGTAATAATGGCGGAGAGTATATGAAGTCTGAACTTCAACATTATTTGACTACACAGGGCATTGTTCATCAAACCACGTGTATTTCCACACCCCAACAAAATGGAGTGGCAGAGAAAAAAAATCGCCACTTGTTGGAAGTTGTTCGTGTTTCCTTGATTGAAGTTTATATGCTTGTGTCATATTGAGGTGATGCCCTTTCCTTAGCTGCATACCTCATTAATCATGTTCCATCCAGCACTGTTAAATTTCAGACACCATTTCAAGCTTCACAGGATGCTATCAATGCTCCCACTTTCCCTAATTTGCAACCTCGTGTTTTTGGGTGTGTTGTGTTTGTCCACCTTTATAAACATCAACGGAGTAAATTAGAGCCTAGAGCATTGCGGTGTGTTTTCTTAGGGTATGCATCTCATCAGAAAGGGTATCGATGTTATCATCCTCCCACAAAAGTTATGCATATTACTTTGGATGTGGTTTTTCATGAAGATAAGATGTATTTTTCACTTGAGTTTGATCTTCAGGGGGTGCATCACCAGGCAGAAGTTAAAACTCAGATTTATGATTCTTATAATTTTGAAATTCTGAATTATGATTATGCTGGAGCATCTGAAGATATGGATGCAGGTGTGAGCAGTTTGGATTCAAGTAATGTGGAAGACCCTCCTGTTATTGAAACAACATCACTGTTTGAGCCTCCCTCACTGCAACCTGAGACACATAACCAATCACTCACTGAGGTTGTCCCTGAGTCTGTTCCAAACTCTCCCAAAAGAAATCCCCCTCGTAGTAATAAAAGTATTCCTAAACCCATGTATGAACCTGAACTTACTAGCAAGGTGAAGTATCCCATGAGTCAATATGTGTCCACCCATCGCTTGTCTGAATCAAATAAGTCATTTGTGAATCAATTATTTGTTGTATCTATTCCTGACAGTGTGCAGGAGGCCCTTGCTGATCCAAGGTGGAAAGCAGCGATGAATAAAGAAATGAAGTCCTTGCAAAAGAACAAAACATGGGAGCTTGTTGATATCCCGTCTGGAAAGAAGCCAGTTGGGTGTCGATGGATCTATACCGTTAAGTATAAAGCTGATGGTACTGTTGAACGATTCAAAGCTCAACTGGTGGCGAAAGGATACACTCAAACATATGGTATTGATTATATGGATACTTTTGCACCTGTGGCCAAGATCAATACTGTTCGTGTTTTGTTGTCTCTAGTTGTGAATTTAGATTGACCATTATAGCAGTTTGATGTGAAGAATGCTTTCCTGCATGGTGACTTGACGGAGGAAATTTATATGGATCTCCCACCTAGATGTCTTATGCAAGGAAAACATGAGAGAAAAGTATGTAGGTTGAAGAAGTCATTGTATGGATTGAAACAGTCCCCTAGAGCTTGGTTCGAAAGATTTACAAAGTCCATGAGAAAATTTGGATACAGACAGAGCAATGTAGATCATACTTTGTTTTTGAAACAACAAAAGGATAAGATTATTGCACTCATTGTATATGTGGATGATATGGTGGTTACAGGAAATGATCATGAGGAAAGAGAGGCTCTACAGAATTACTTGTTCAAAGAATTTGAAATGAAAGATCTTAGTTCATTGAAATACTTTCTTAGGATAGAAGTTTCTTGATCTGGCCGAGGAATTTTTTTGTTTCAAAGAAAATATGTCCTAGATTTGTTGAAGGAAACTAGAATGTCAGCTTGTGAACCCGTAGATACTTCGGTGGAAGAAGGGTTGAAGTTATGTCTTGTTTCTAATCAAGTTCCAGCTGATAAAGGAAGATACCAGAGACTTGTAGGGAGATTAATGTACCTGGCACACATAAGGCCAGATCTTACCTACGCTCTGAGTATTATTAGCCAATTTATGCATAATCCTGAAGAACAACACATGAGTGCAGTGATGTGAATCTTGAGGTACTTGAAGTCTGCCCCTGGAAAAGGAATATTGTTTTCCAAGAGTATTGATTGTCACAAAGTTGAAGCATACACGGATGCTAATTGGGCTGGGTCCATTGATGACAGATGATCCACCTCTGGTTATTTCACCTTTGTAAGAGGTAATCTTGTTACTTGGAGAAGTAAGCAGCAGAATGTTGTCGCTCGTTCAAGTGCAGAAGTCGAATATCGAGGTATGACCCTTGGTATTTGTGAAGTATTATGGCTGAGACAACTTTTAAAGGATTTGGGGTATCCACCAAAGCAATTGATTCAAGTGTACTGTGACAACAAGACTACCTGTGATATCGCTTATAATCCAGTCTAACATGACAGAACAAAACATGTGGAGGTTGACATATTTTTTATCAAGGAAAAGTTGGAAGCAAAAATTATCGAGTTACCCAAGATTCAATCTGAGGATCAACTGGCAGATCTCCTCACCAAAGCTGTGTCAAATAAATTGTTTTCCAAATTTGTTGACAAGTTGGGCATATGTGATATCTATGCACCAACTTGAGGGGGAGTGTTGAGGTTATGTTGTAATTAGCTCTTAGTTAAAGGGTCTTACTTGTAATTAGTTTATCTTATTCTATTAGGGTTGTATATATACAATGTTAATAAATGAAATAAAGAGGTGTTGTTTTTCTCCCAACTTTCACATAGTCTCCAATAACTCTGATGAGGGAAATTTTTCTGCACTCACAGGGACTGGTTCTGCCAACAGAAATAGTTGTGTCGTGGAATCTCATGTTACTTAGGCGAGGATGGTAGTTGTATCAGTCCAGTTCATTCAAAATGTGACCAAAAATTTTGCACAAAAAATGAGCTTGGACGCGGTGGTTTTGGGGTGGTTTACAAGGGAGAATTGGATGAAGGAACAAAAATAGCAGTGAAAAGGATAGAGGCTGGAGCAATTAGCAACAAAGCTTTAAACGAATTTCGATCAGAAATTTCTGTTCTTTCTAAGGTCCACCATCGTCAATTGGTATCCCTTTTAGGATATTCTACTGAAGGTAATGAGAGAATTCTGGTCTATGAATATGTGCCTTAAGGGGCTCTTAGCAAGCATCTTTTCCATTGGATGAGCTTAAACTTAGAGCCTCTNGCTTTAAACGAATTTCGATCAGAAATTTCTGTTCTTTCTAAGGTCCACCATCGTCAATTGGTATCCCTTTTAGGATATTCTACTGAAGGTAACGAGAGAATTCTGGTCTATGAATATGTGCCTTAAGGGGCTCTTAGCAAACATCTTTTCCATTGAATGAGCTTAAACTTAGAGCCTTTATCTTGGAAGAGGTGGTTAAATATTGCCTTAGATGCTGCTAGAGGAATGGAGTATCTTCATAGTTTGGCTCATCAGACCTTTATACACAGAGACCTAAAGTCTTCACATATCTTACTTGGCGATGATTTTAGAGCGAAAGTTCAGATTTTGGACTAGTTAAACTGGTTCCTGATGGGGAGAAATCTGTATTGACCAAGCTAGCTGGGACTTTTGGATACCTAGCACCCGAATATGCTTGTAAGTGTTCTCTTTTATGTTCTTCCCCATTTATTACACTCAAAATTTAGAGTAGATTACGAATATAAACACACAAATTCCTACTTATATATCTCATATCAACTCTATATCAATGCAATTGATAGAGTTGGTCATTCCTTGTGCCACGATAAATGAGTTTGTAGCTAGGAATAGTTGACATCTCGTTTAGATTTTGTTTCACGAATAGAATCTATAGCGATCTTTTCCTCCTCTTCCAAGTCGTCTGATCACCATTCAGGGGGGAGATTAATTAGGTTAAGGAAAATATGAGGTGACCCCATTAAAGAGAACATCCAAGAATACATCGAGTCTCTTGGATTTCATATCGTAACATCTATACCCGGACTAAGCATAGCCAAGAAAGACATAAGTCGTTGCCATGAACACTATAATATTTCATTCCAATCTTTAGCATCTCATCTTCCTTGTGTTAGCATGTTGAAGTACCATAGAAACTCCTGATTGTGATTTTTCGAATTGATTTAGTTACAGGTAAACTCACGACGAAAGCTGATGTCTTCAGTTTTGGGGTTGTACTAATGGAGCTATTAACTGGACTAATGACAACTAANAGAAAGACATAAGTCGTTGCCATGAACACTATAATATTTCATTCCAATCTTTAGCATCTCATCTTCCTTGTGTTAGCATGTTGAAGTACCATAGAAACTCCTGATTGTGATTTTTCGAATTGATTTAGTTACAGGTAAACTCACGACGAAAGTTGATGTCTTCAGTTTTGGGGTTGTACTAATGGAGCTATTAACTGGACTAATGGCAACTGANAACTCCTGATTGTGATTTTTCGAATTGATTTAGTTACAGGTAAACTCACGACGAAAGCTGATGTCTTCAGTTTTGGGGTTGTACTAATGGAGCTATTAACTGGACTAATGACAACTAATGAGGAGAGACCTCAGGAAAGCAAATCCTTGGTGGCATGGTTCTAGCACATCAAATCAACCAAAGAGAAGCTTATGGCTATTATTGACCCAACCCTCGATGTGAAAGACGAAACGTTTGAGAGCATCTCCATCATGGCTGAACTAGCAAGGCACTGCACTGCAAAGGAACCTAACCAACGATCCAATATATNATTATTGACCCAACCCTCGATGTGAAAGACGAAACGTTTGAGAGCATCTCCATCATTGCTGAACTAGCCAGGCACTGCACTGCAAAGGAACCTAACCAACGATCCAATATATGTCATGTTGTGAAAATATTGGCACCACTTGTTGAGAAATGGAAACCATTAGATAATGACATTGGGGAGTGTTGTGGTATTGATTGCAACCTTCCCCTTAACCAAATGGTGAAGGGGTTGGCAAGAAGAAGAAGAAGGAAAGGACTCCAGTTATTTGGACATTCTTCAGGACAACAAGGGTACCACCCCAGCAAAACCTCTTGGATTTGCGGAGTCCTTCACTTCAGCTGATGGCCTATAAAACAAAGAGAAGACAAAAAATTGGGACAAAAACTTAGAATACGTGTCAAGCCAATTCCANGGAGTGTTGTGGTATTGATTGCAACCTTCCCCTTAACCAAATGGTGAAGGGGTTGGAAATGACTCCAGTTATTTGGACATTCTTCAGGACAGCAAGGGTACCACCCCAGCAAAACCTCCTGGATTTGCGGAGTCCTTCACTTCAGCTGATGGCCTATAAAACAAAGAGAAGACAAAAAACTGGGACAAAAACTTAGAATACGTGTCAAGCCAATTCCATATGTGGGATCTAATTTATTGACCTAATTCACTATGATATTTTGGATACGTGTCAAATCTTAATTTGTATAGAGTTTGATCGTGTAATTCTTCTTCTGATTTGAACAATTCATTTATTTTCTCTTTTTCTACTTTTCACTAAATTCCTGCTAAACAACCCAACGCAGAGATGAAGTTTGTATTTTAAATTTTTTCATGAATTTTTAATTATTTAAATTAACCTTTTAAATTACGTAATCTATTTCAATTGATCTCTTATCTTAAGATTATTTAATCACCTAGTTTAAATTAATTTTTAATGAGACATAATCTGTTAAGATTAATCAAAAATGATTAAATTAACGAAAAAGATCAATTGAAATAAATTACATAGTTTAGATGGCAAGTTGGAATAATTAAAAGTTAGAGGGGCCATTTACAATAAGAGTCATAGTTTGGGGGGACATTTATGAAATTTACCCCTAACTAATTTATTTTGTTTTTCACTGAAATCGTTTTCAAAATAGGAGCCGTTTCTTTAAACTAAAAAAAAAAACCCTAATTCTATTTTGCGCAGAGTGTAATTCTCTGCCTCACCGTCTCTTACGTCTTCCTCTGCAAGCGACCGCCTCTGCATCACTGAGCCTCACCGTCTCTCAGTTCCCTCTCCGCGAACCCTACCTCGCCGTCGCTCTCTACTCCTCACTCTCCGTGTGTGTGTGCGTCTCTCCCNCCGTTTCTTTAAACTAAAAAAAAAAACCCTAATTCTATTTTGCGCAGAGTGTAATTCTCTGCCTCACCGTCTCTTACGTCTTCCTCTGCAAGCGACCGCCTCTGCATCACTGAGCCTCACCGTCTCTCAGTTCCCTCTCCGCGAACCCTACCTCGCCGTCGCTCTCTACTCCTCACTCTGTGTGTGTGTGTGTGTGTGCGCGTCTCTCCCTCTCTCTCTCTCTACTTCTGTATCCGTCTCCATCTGCAACTCTTGTCAAGTGAAGTTCATAATCACAAACACTTTGGATTCTTGTTTTCATTATTGCCGGAGTTAAAAATAAGAATTTATTGTGAAGATGGTGCGCTCCAAGGCTCCAACGAAGAAGCAGCAAAAGCGCGGCGTAGACTTCAAAGTAATTTTCTCTGCCTCCTGAAAATATTTTGGATTTTTGAACCTTTAATGGGTTTTTTTTTGGTATTATATCATGTTAATATTGTTAGAAATTTTGCAGAAAATAAAGCGAAAGATCGGTAGGAAATTGCCACCGCCCAAGAATGCAACTAACACTGAAATCAAATCCAAAGGTTATCTCCCCCCCCCCCCTCCTCCTTAATTCACGCTTTCTTTATTTTTGTTTCCAATTTCATTGAATATTGGTATATTTATCCATCATTGTGAATAAACAATACGAATGTTCTATTTCTCCTTGTTATCAAGAGAGGGAGAAGACAGATAATTGGTGAAGTTTTCCTTTAAATAGAGAAGCCAATGATGGGTTTGTGTGCTTTGTTGTGAGGTATGGGTGGGTTTTTAGTAGAGTAATGTGATTGATGGACATTTTATTTCCTTTGGTATGAGCAGCCATAATTCTTCCTGAGCAAAGTGTGGCATCGGAGAAGGCAGGTTTAGCTGTGAGCAAAAAGGGTTTGACTTTAAAAGAGCTTCTTCAGCAAACATCTCATCATAATGCGAAAGTTCGTAAAGGTATTTTGTCATTAGTTTAGAATTTTGGTTGGCATGGGGAAGTGAACTCACATTTCAGAGTTTTACATTGGAAATTAATTGACATAAGAAGAAAAATATCGTAGTCGGAGATGTTGAATTTGTTGATGGTGGCCCCTTCCTAGAGGTTGTCATTCTTGGAAAAAATCCGTAAAAAACGATTTTACAACACTTATGTCAGTGAATATTCTAGACATCTGCTGATGTAGGTTTATCGTGTCTTTTTTTCACTCCAATGAAATACCCTTTGGTGCGTGCAACTTTTATTTTTTGTGAAATATTTCATATTTTCTACCATGACTGCAAATGCCATCAAGTACTACTGTAGTTATTATACTTTTCTATTGAGCTAACTGTTATTTTCTTTGACTTAACCGAACTACATGTCATATTATATGAACCTGTTTAGATAATTGTTATTGTATTGGTCCCAACAGACTACCCATTGCAATTCTTTACAAAAGCATATTTTCACCATATATTTACAATGTTTTTTTTTTGTGAAGAATTTATAATTGTATAATCATGTGCTTGACCAGGTCACCCAATTTCTCAAATGTTTTGTACTATTTTGATTTGTTTGACGATGTACTTACTCATCATATAGGTTATTTATCGTTTCATTAAGTGCATGTATTAAATTGTATTAATTCAAAGTAGCTACCTCTCGCATGATCGCTTTGTCTAGATCTAGGGCCTAATTGTTGCCTTCCTTTGTTGACTCCAAATATCAAATGTTAACAAGAAGAGTTGTTTCTCTTTCAAGATGCATTGACTGGTATTAGGGATATATTCCTTAAATACCCAGCAGAGTTGAAGTTGCACAAACTCGCTGTTATAGAGAAGCTGCGTGAACGCATCAGTGATGAAGACAAATTGGTTCGTGAAACCCTATATCAACTTCTCAAGGCAGTTATTTTTCCTGGTTGCAAAGAGGTAATATTCTTGCATGTCTCTTTCATTTAAATACTTTTTTCATAGTGCCAGTATTTTTTTTTTTTTTTCAATGTTAGTTCACTGAATGCATTCTCTTATGTTGACACTATGGACTATGTGCCATTGTGCCTTGTTAATTTGTCTAATTTTCATTTTCTTTGAGTGATGTAGCCCAAAACCAGCTATTGCTTATCAAACTTTTCAATGTTCAGAACCAAAACCTTTTTCTTTTGTTCTATTTTAATTCTATTGATAGAGGCTGATATATTACGTTCTTTTTCATATAGCCATTAAACATTATTTGTCTTTTGATTTCCTGTGTTGATTGTAACTCAGAATTGCGAAGATAAACAACTTTAAACATATAATTGTACAAGTGTGGGGGACATTCTCCTACAATCTATGATACCAGTGTTATTTAATGCGTGAATCGAACTTAAACGAATAAGTCTCTTGAGGCCTAGGCGAGAAGCTAGGGGTGAAGCGAACGCTTCATCAAAGCAAAGTAAACAATAAAAAAAATATTTTATTTCTAAACCATCACAAATGAAAAATTTGGTCATTAGTACTCATCCATCACAAATGAAATCTTTTCTGTTATAAATAGGAAGCAATAGCAAAAATTATATAGTTTTCTACCAAATCAGTCTTTTTTGAGAGAAGAAATTGAACTAAGCATAACAAAGCAGCAGAATCAAGCAGAAGTAGTCTAAATACAAACACAATAGAAGTAGTCTAAATACAAACACAACAGAATCAGTCTAAGCAAAAAGTACAGAAACCCAGTCATAACAAAGCAGAAACCGAGTTATAACAAAATAGAAAATCAGTCTAAGCATAACTACATAACACATCATCACAGTAGAAGCAGAGGGAGGTTCTAGCAGAACTAGAAATAGAATCAACATCACAACAGAATCAGCAGAAAAAAAACCAGAAATAGAGTAGAAGGGAAGGAAGTAAAATCAACATCACATCAACAGAGATGGCAAAAAAAATAGAAACAGTGTAGAAGAGGAGGACGAGGAGGAGGCTCCAATAGAATTAGAAAATCAGAAGCAGAGGGGGAGAATTAGAAGAGAAGGAGAAGAATCAGAGGATATAGAATTAAAAAGTTCACTAAAGTGATTGCTTATTTGCTTTTGCTTTCTTTTTTTTCGCCTCGACTACGTTCACTTAGCTTGACATGTTAAGGCAACATAGGGTCGCTTCGCTTTGTTTCTCGCCTAAGCTCACTTTTTACAACACTGTATGATACTAAATCTAACATTGGACAACCAAAGACGAAGGGTTTTGGGGCTGATAATATCTGTGTTTTCTGCTCAAGATATAGGTAAAAATCGATTTTCACAATGCTTATTCTCCACGTTTTCATTTTCTTCTGAATGCATATCTTGGGCAGTTATACCGTATTTCATTGCTGTTATTACTGTTCACCTTCCGAATATCCACAGTAGTTGATCATCTTTTTATTTTCCAGGAGAGTCAAGGACCTTTCATCTCCCTGATGATGGCATATATTTTTAACGCAATGACGCATTTGGCAATTGATGTTCGGTTGATGGCTTTCAAATTTTTTGACGTTCTTGTTCAGTTTTATCCATATGCATTTTTGTTGAATGCTGAAAAGGTAGCCACATCCTTTTTTTGTAATTTTGTTTAATATATGTATCAATTACGTAGTTTTCACGTAAGAAACACGGGCACAGACACGGACGCGGACACGAANAATTTTGTTTAATATATGTATCAATTACGTAGTTTTCACGTAAGAAACACGGGCACGGACACGGACGCGGACGCGGACGCGGACACGAACACGGACACGGTACTGACAATTATGTGTTATGTATAAAATTATATTATTTGTCGTAAATATAGTGATAATGATATACTATTTATAAAAAAAGCTCAGTACTATATGATAAATAAATGTTGTCTAGTCATCTAGTATGAATTTTAGACTAAATCATCATAATAGTCAAAGAATCATAATTTTTTTTTTTTGTAGACAACGTGTACCCAACAATAACATATATAGGTTAAATGATTGTTTCATTTTCTCAATTTCTTTTGTTTAAAACTTTTATGCATATTTTGTTTTTATTATTATATTTTGAGTACAACTTTAACATGTCTAATGTTAGTAATTATATGTTATCTCATAGTATAAAATATTCATTAGTCAAAATTTTAAGTTTTGTTAGTCACATGTCAATACATGTTTAATGTTTAGTGGTAGACACGCGTTCTAAAGAAGTCTCGAACATGTCATTAAAGAAGTGTAGGGCACGTGTCCGAAATTAAAATTTTATCATTTAATTATGGACACGGATAAAAGAGTATCGGATACATATCCGAGAGTGTCCAAAGAGTGTAGATGCCCGAAGAGTGTAGGTGTCCGACATGGATACATCTCCTTCTTGAGAGTGTCCTTTTTTCATAGGTTTTTACTTATGCATTTGTATTTTCTTTATAATAATTGCTTGAGATGCATCAATCTCTGTGATTTCCTTGGCCTGACACTTACTTAAGTGTCAGTTCAATGTGCGAGGTTGTGGTATTCCGAGTCATGTATAGTTGTATGATGGGCTTAAAAGAATGCAATTGCTGTTTCTGAGCCAATGGAGTTGGTGAAGCAGATGCTGATGTGTTTCTTTTGTCTTCCTGCTTCTTGGTTTCCCTTTCATCTCTGATTCCAAGACAGTAGTTAGTGTGATTTTGACTTATTTGTCAAGTCTATACCAATGTTCTCACCTTAATTCATGTTTGGGTTTTGTGTCTAAGACTTTGTTCCTTTATCTACAGATTCTCCAGAACTATGAAGATATTCTACGGAAGAACCAATTTTATTTACAGGACAAGGGCAAGCTCAAGAGTGCTCTTGCTGGGTTGACACGCTGCTTGTTGCTGTTGCCATGTAATAAGGGAGAAGATGATTCATCATTCTTAAATGTATTTTATACTTACCAACTCCAAAACTCCCATATATTTGCAGAATTTTCTTCATTTGCCATATTTATTGAATGGTATTTCTTTTTGGCTTATTCCCTTTTGTTGTTGAGCATGTTTTTCTAGTTTAATAGTATTTCTTGTAAATTGTAGTTACTACTTAATAGAACTATTGGCCACTGAATGTTTTCTCATGTATGTATCAACTCCAATTCCAGAACTCCCAATAGAATTTCTACCATACAAACTGTTCGTTGAAATCCATCCAGCATTAGAAGTTAATATATTGTGTAGGGCATGTCTGACTATGTGGTACTCTCACGACTGCAGCTCAAGTATAAGTTTTAATCATGGGAGAGCAATTAATTAAAATGAACTGTTGGCAAAGTGATCTAACTGCTTCCCCGTTTTGTTTTGAGGTATTATGATACGGTTGCTAAAGCATTAGTTTACTGACATAAAATTCTTGGAGTTATTACGTTGATAACCTGCATGCCATGCCTTCCTCATAGTGTTGTGTCCTCATAGTCATTTTCTTTTCTGCTATGGAACTTGTATATAAGCTTATGCAGACAACTATTCTCAAATCATTGTTACTATGAACTACACTTGAAGTCATTCTTTACTAACTGTTTTTTGAATATAATTTTGTCTGCTAAGTGTATTCTGCATGCAAAATTATTATTATGATTTTGCATTTGCTTGTCAAACACTTTTACCTCAGTAAGCACCTTTTAATTTGCAATGCTCATTTCACATTTAATTCTCATAGGACGTTGCTGCTCAAGGGATTTTGCATGCTTTTGAGCCGGAGGCACTGAAAGATCCTACTGGTAACTGGAGGAACATTGACATTGTACATGACCATTTTTTTGTTCACCTTCCAATAACATTAGCATCAGGCTTTTCGGTAGTTGTAATACAAAAGTTTACTATTGCAGATCCTTACCATGGAACAATACATAAATTTGCTATAATGACAATGCTTTATCTACAAGATTTACGGACCATCAAGTTTTGCCAGATCTCTAGTAATTATATTACTGAATTCTATTTCTTAATCTACTTTTATTAGTCCTTCAAGTTTCTTGGATTTTGGCCTTGTTTTCATGAAAATTACTTATCAGTTTCGGGAGAGAGTCGCTAGCTAATGTTATACACAATTTGGTACTTAACTTTTAAGTATGNGCCTTGTTTTCATGAAAATTACTTATCAGTTTCGGGAGAGAGTCGCTAGCTAATGTTATACACAATTTGGTACTTAACTTTTAAGTATGTTCTCTCTCTCGCTCTCTCTCTCTCTTCATAACACCGTATTTGGTCCACATTGAGTGGGGTCTAGGTGGGGTAGATCGGGTAAATCGACCCAACTTTTGGCATTATGTGCTTAGAGGGGCTGTTCTGANGGCCTTGTTTTCATGAAAATTACTTATCAGTTTCGGGAGAGAGTCGCTAGCTAATGCTATACACAATTTGGTACTTAACTTTTAAGTATGTTCTCTCTCTCGCTCTCTCTCTCTCTCTCTCTTCATAACACCGTATTTGGTCCACATTGAGTGGGGTCTGGGTGGGGTAGATCGGGTAAATCGACCCAACTTTTGGCATTATGTGCTTAGAGGGGCTGTTCTCANTGTATGTATCAACTCCAATTCCAGAACTCCCAATAGAATTTCTACCATACAAACTGTTCGTTGAAATCCATCCAGCATTAGAAGTTAATATATTGTGTAGGGCATGACTGACTATGTGGTACTCTCACGACTGCAGCTCAAGTATAAGTTTTAATCATGGGAGAGCAATTAATTAAAATGAACTGTTGGCAAAGTGATCTAACTGCTTCCCCGTTTTGTTTTGAGGTATTATGATACGGTTGCTAAAGCATTAGTTTACTGACATAAAATTCTTGGAGTTATTACGTTGATAACCTGCATGCCATGCCTTCCTCATAGTGTTGTGTCCTCATAGTCATTTTCTTTTCTGCTATGGAACTTGTATATAAGCTTATGCAGACAACTATTCTCAAATCATTGTTACTATGAACTACACTTGAAGTCATTCTTTACTAACTGTTTTTTGAATATAATTTTGTCTGCTAAGTGTATTCTGCATGCAAAATTATTATTATGATTTTGCATTTGCTTGTCAAACACTTTTACCTCAGTAAGCACCTTTTAATTTGCAATGCTCATTTCACATTTAATTCTCATAGGACGTTGCTGCTCAAGGGATTTTGCATGCTTTTGAGCCGGAGGCACTGAAAGATCCTACTGGTAACTGGAGGAACATTGACATTGTACATGACCATTTTTTTGTTCACCTTCCAATAACATTAGCATCAGGCTTTTCGGTAGTTGTAATACAAAATTTTACTATTGCAGATCCTTACCATGGAACAATACATAAATTTGCTATAATGACAATGCTTTATCTACAAGATTTACGGACCATCAAGTTTTGCCAGATCTCTAGTAATTATATTACTGAATTCTATTTCTTAATCTACTTTTATTAGTCCTTCAAGTTTCTTGGATTTTGGCCTTGTTTTCATGAAAATTACTTATCAGTTTCGGGAGAGAGTCGCTAGCTAATGTTATACACAATTTGGTACTTAACTTTTAAGTATGTTCTCTCTCTCGCTCTCGCTCTCTCTCTCTCTTCATAACACCGTATTTGGTCCACATTGAGTGGGGTCTGGGTGGGGTAGATCGGGTAAATCGACCCAACTTTTGGCATTATGTGCTTAGAGGGGCTGTTCTCAGGCTTGAACCCACTACTTTGAGGTAATTCATACGCTTCTCTTTTTTGTTTGTTTGGGCATGAGGCTTATGCTTTCCTTTCCTTTTCTTTGCCGTTGTTATTCTTTGTTTTCTTATTTTTCAGCACTTTTTAGCCATCTAAAACTGATAACCTGATCAGATTTCTTGCCTAATTAGAGCCATGCTTTCAATCGAAGGCTACCATAAATAAGTTATTCATGTGGTTATTGTAAAATTAAGTGTTCCACCCTTTGCTTATAATGGTGAAGGAAGTGGTGTTCAATTTTTATAGTACTTGAACTTTTTCCCTAGATGTGATATTGCATTGCAATTCATCTTTTGTCCTTTTTTTAAAAAAATNCTTTTTCCCTAGATGTGATATTGCATTGCAATTCATCTTTTGTCCTTTTTTTAAAATTTTNGAAGTGGTGTTCAATTTTTATAGTACTTGAACTTTTTCCCTAGATGTGATATTGCATTGCAATTCATCTTTTGTCCTTTTTTTAAAAAAATTTTTCTCCCCCCCTCTTCTTTTGGATATGATGATAGTTTTTGACTATCACCTTTGTGTTTGTAGGGATTTCTGTCATTGTCAAGAAATTAGAGGAACTTTTGCCCATCCTAGTTAACTGTTTCCATGATTTTGTGGCGTTGGTTCAAACTATGCCACTATTAGATGCACAATCATTTGATTGTATGCTGTCTATACTTCAGAGCATAGATCTTGTAGTCAGGTCTTTTGGTTATGGGATTCACAAAGGTCCGCAACCAGAGATACAAGTTTTTCCACCTCGTTTTGGAAGATCTGATGTTACTAGAAGGGATCAAGCTATCTCGCCAGTGTTATTAAAGAAGTTGTGGGATTTGTTTCCCCTCAAATCCGTGCATCACCTTTCAGATAAGGTGGGACCTTAGTATTTGCTTAGAGCCTATCACATTCACTTCCAAATGAATATTTTATTTAATTTATTATTTTTTTTGTTTTTTACTGCTCATATCCATTTTGTCTAACCATGACTGTCATGCTCGTGTCTTTTAGTTTCACATCTTCTTTTTGTTGTTAAACTAAGTTGGTAGTTAAGAACTATAAGACCAGTGTCATACATTATGGGATTTGAATACTGGGCAGCTAAAAAGCAGCATGTTCATAAAATCGGTATCTGGGAAGGTTAACATTGATTTGATATACATCGGTAGATCACTATTACAATAAAGAATCAGCTATGACACTTTTCGAATAATGGATGATGAATCATCTACAAAGAAGTGAAGAGAAGCCTGAAAGAGGGCATAATAGAACCCACTAAGAGGGACACTTAAGAAATCAAGTCTTGCCTTTGGCAAAAATTGACCTCTTACTTGGCAAAATCTTGAGAGTCAAGAGTGGCCAACTTAGCTAGACCCAGCTGGTGAGTGTTACATGGAATTTTATTAAGACGGAATTGGACAAAATTTGAGATGAACTCAATTATCACGTATAAAGGTTAAAAATTTCAAAGAAAATGACTAAGATGGTTACAAATGTTCTACAAATGCTAATAACTACACTACACTGGAAAAGACGAATGATTTTAATCCATGTCAATTATACAGATAGAAACAGACCAAAGTTAACATAGATCAAGAGAGCAAAATAGATTTAGCATCTTGTGGTTTAACAGGTAGTTAAAAAAAATCACCATTCAGTTCTTGTTAAAAATGAATGGTGAACAAAGATTCAGCTAGCCAACCTCAAATAATTGAGACAAAGCTTTACTGAGTTGAATTACGTTGAGTTAGGTTGTTTAAAAATACCGATTTGAAGTAGGCTTCAACATACATATCATTACTCATATAACTGAACCCTTAGAACCCGAGCTGTTCCCAGGTGGTTTGGTTGCCTGCAGCCTCTCTTTGAATTCAGTTATATGTAAACCTGATGTAGATTTTGGTTTCATAAGGCATTTCTCTAACCATTTTATATTGATCAACACCGGAAGTTACACGTTATATTATTGTGGGTAGAGTTGATCTAATTTGCCCTTTNGATGTAGATTTTGGTTTCATAAGGCATTTCTCTAACCATTTTATATTGATCAACACTAGAAGTTACACGTTATATTATTGTGGGTAGAGTTGATCTAATTTGCCCTCTTTTCTATATTGCAGGATGAGGATAGATATTTCATTTTGAATGTTATTATTACGGTTATATTTTTACGGTTAAGTGACTGGATCTGCCCTCCCACTCCTTTGTTGGAAATATTTCTAGAATTTATGGAAAGTTCTCTCTCTGAAAAGGTTTGCTTCATGAACTTTTTTTGTTCTTAGAATTTTCAGAAATTGCGTGCTCATGGAGGTTTTTGAATGGAGAAATTTTGGATGTGCGATGTTGAACACATTATATGATACGCATGCCTTCACCATTGGTTTTTGGGAAAATATTGTTTGTAGCAGTTTGTCTTTGGATTTTAATGGTTTGCAGTGGTTAGATGTAGTCTATCAAAGATTTTGCTGTGTACTTCATTGTAGGAAATTAGATAGTGTACTACAACCATTCTTCTATTTCGTTCCGCTTGTTTTCTGGTGAACAGTAGATATCTGACATTAGATGCGAGGTTGCAATAAATATTTTGTATTCTCTTCATTCTTCCTCAAGAATTCTGAAATTTCTGCTAAATGTTTTGATATTCCTGACAAAAAATAAGGAAAAGGATATTGAGTGACTTTTCGCGGGCAGCTGTTGGAAGTTGTGGGCAAGCTTCATGACAATTAAGTGAAACAAGAATGTGCAATTTTGAAATATCCCATGTAGAGGGCAAGAAAAGGAATGCACAAGTAAACCAGAAGCAAAATTAATTTGAAGAAAGCATAAAATGAGACAGAAATTATAGCAAACTTAATTACACAAGATTCAAATTTCCCCCATGATATACATGATATGCATGTTTTCTTGTTAACACAATTCCATCCTCAAATAACTCATGTCTTTCTATTCTTATTTTTCTATAATATTGCTCCTCTATTTGCACTCCCTCTCAAGAAGCCAATGAAGGTAATTTTATTGTTTCTTCGGGGAACATAGAAAAATTTCATTCAGTTAAGTTTCTGCAAAATTGCAATGGTCATGTTAACCTGGATGACATCTGAAACCAATTATAGTCAACAAAAAACATGTCTGGTAGCTTGGCTCCTCTACTGCAACATTGACGCATGAAAGTTTAAAAAAGTTTAAAAATTATTTGAGATGAAACACTAAGGAAACAGCTTGTAACGGAAAGATATTATGCTTCTTTAATGATCTTCTCATTTAGGATCAGAAATTGTGTCTTTTAAGAGCATAGAAATTTCCTACAAGTTATGGGTTTGAGTTGCGGAAACCACCTCTACCCATGCGGGTTAAGGCTGCATACACTTGACCCTCCCGAGACCCTATAGGGGAAGGAGTCTCGTGCACTGAATTTTTATTTTTTCAAGTGGGATACAAATTTTGTGGATGCTGTTCTTTTGAAAGAATAGAAATTTTCTGCAAGCCAAGGGCTTTGTTGATATGGCTTATTTGCTTTGTTCAAAATGGAATTGGTTTATATCCCATAGTGAAGAACATGACGTATATTATCTCGCAGATACAGACTGAGTCGCAATCTGTCAAATCATTTCATGGGAAGCATGTGCTTGCACTTATACCTTTTATTCCGAAACTTATAATGCGAGTGGCTGATAATTGGAAGTCTTGTATTCTTCAGGTTTGTGCCTTTTTTCTTAGAGTTATTTGATTGCTAGTAGTTTGCCCTTCAGCAAGTTAGTTTCATTGATTTGTTTAATAAGCACTAAGATGATCCTGAACTTCCAATTTTCAGTCCCAAACATATTAAAGCTCCTGAGAAATATGAAATCGTTGGATGATGATGACAATTTTGTATAATGTACTCCATTGCCACAGGCTTTTACAAAGGTTTTTGAGAGTTGCAGTCCAGAGAGTTCATTGAAGTTGGCTTGTCTTTCTGCAATAGAAGAAATGCTAGTTCCTGTAAGCTCTTTGCTCTATATGTCTAGGTGTATTCTGTACGATTGTTTAGCATTCTTGTGCAGAGTTTATTTTTGAGATGTCTTGTCACCCTAATTTCCTTCTTTGTTATTTTCTTTGCTATTCTTAGTTTTCTCCTGGGGGTGTTGGATTTTTTTTCCTTTGGGGGTGGTGGTGGTTGTGTTGTAGGCCATCATTTGGCTGATTACATATGATTGATACAAAAAGTTCTCTTGCTATCTGTTTTCTCTCTTAGGGGAAAGGATCTTGAAGCTTGGGAAATATATACATTTGTTTCCTGTACAAACACTGCAAGTTATGTCCCTTATTATTCTTTCGTCTTCCATATTTAACCTGGAAATTACTGTGCATACCACAGAAGCATGGCTGGTTGTACCTTGATGCAAGTGATCCTAAAATATTGGAGTATCAGCTTAATTGGATAAGGGAGCTTCCTTCATTGCTGATTCTATTAGGTGATAGACACCCATTATGTTCTAAGGTAATTTATTCAATTACTTCACGTACTAGTTTAGATATTTTCTCAAAGTTTTGGAAAGTTGTTAGAGATGATGGTAGTAAAATTCAGCATTCAAGGTTTCCAGTGTTTTACTCTTATCCTGAATTATCATGACATGAGTTTTTTTTTACCCCTAAAATTGCAATGCTCCTTGTAGGCTGTGTTGCGTCTTCAACTTCGTTTGGGACAAATTGCTCCATTGAACTCTACTTTCTCACAAGAATTTGACAATATGCAGTACTCATTGAGAGAATTTTACAGTACTTGCCTAGATGATAGTAAGGATTTAATATCTGATTTGGTTTCTGTTTTTTTTTTCTTTTTACGTTGTTTCTTTATTTTGGTTGATTGATGACATTGAGTACTGATTACCTGCCGCCTTGGTGATTTGCTTTCTTATGTTGCAGGAAGTGTATGCTATGGTCCTTTCATAAGGCTCCCGAGAGAAATTCAGGAACTTTCTGTGTGTTGCCTTTATTATTTCTCTTTCTTGGACTCCTTTCTGCTTCAGTCACTTGTGTCATGTTGCCTATGTGAGTATTATGTTATTGGCCCAAACTCCATTGTAAATATTAATTTCAAAAGTTGATTTCTCTGTTTGCATGTATTAAATAACTAAATGCTTGAGGCATTTCGTACAGTATTACAATATTAACAGCAATTAGCAAAGAGTGGTCTTATACAAGTTTTTGTCTTGCACAATATTTTTTTTTTTGTGATTCCAACGATTACCAGGGAGGGGGGGGGGGATTTGATCCATGCACCTTCCGTGCTCAAGTGGAGAGGCTTTGCCATCTTGGATAGGCCCGTCTTCGACAATTTAACACTGATTGCTTGTCGTTTGGCTGCTGTATCAGGGAACACCTCCCCTCCCTGTGGTGTAGAAGTATGCTGCAGGCCATTTAGTTTGCTTGTGTGTTACCCAAAATATCCATCATGAACTAGAAATCTTTGTATTAGTTAATTTTATTTTATAGATTCTTAAACGGTAGGAGTCGGAATAAGTTTGTTGTCCTACATCCCTAGTATTTTTTTCCAATAAGAAACAGATACTTTATTAATGAAGAGAAGAAAACATTACGAGAGTAAATGCCAAATCAAAGGTGGACTAGAAGTCCAACACAATGACACTGCCTAGTATTATATCATTTCCTTTACGGCATTCTACATGTTTTATTCATTTTGTCATGTGTTTCAGAATGAAATCTTTTGCTGATAGATTGTGGCTTCAGCATTCCGAATCAGTACAAATATGCTCTATTATTGGTTGTTCAGTGCTTCTACTCTAACATCTCATTTACAGTAGAAGGGTCACCTTTGGTTAAGGCATGGCCTAGGATTCCAAGACACACCCCTCTTTTAATTGAGATAGAGAGACACAGACACCACTTTTTTTCTTTTAGAGAAAATTTGTATTATGAAAATTGGTTTTTGAAGTGTCACCCACTATTTTTATTAGTACACTTGGTGAGCTCAGTTTGCACGCATTATGCATATAGACAGGTAATGGGTTTTGGGTTGGTTTTTGTATACCCAATTCCTCAATTCTAAACCTAACAAAAGCAATTGGTCTTTCATTCTGATGAGCCAAGACAACAAACAAAGAATTTTGGAGAACTGGACACAACCAATCCACGAGTGATCAATTGTTTGGATCTCGGGTGTCACCAAACCAGCTTGCATCCTATATGTACAATCATATTCAACTTTAGAGAGTTGGATGATGTTTCATAGATAATGAACATGAAAATTACAAAGAATTGTATGTGTGTGTTGGAATAAGCCATAAAAAATAATGACTTTCTGTAAGTTATAAGAATGTTGTGGAACCAGAGCACTTGTATAGTGCAATTCCCCTCCCTCTTGTTCAATTTAAATCGTGTACCAAAATGAATTGGAGTTGAAATTATATTGTTTGCTATCCATCCTCAAAAGATAGGAAGTGTGAAGATATTTCTNATTCAACTTTAGAGAGTTGGATGATGTTTCATAGATAATGAACATGAAAATTACAAAGAATTGTATGTGTGTGTTGGAATAAGCCATAAAAAATAATGACTTTCTGTAAGTTATAAGAATGTTGTGGAACCAGAGCACTTGTATAGTGCAATTCCCCTCCCTCTTGTTCAATTTAAATCGTGTACCAAAATGAATTGGAGTTGATATTATATTGTTTGCCATCCATCGTCAAAAGATAGGAAGTGTGAAGATATTTCTACTTGCTATTTGTTAAGTTTATTGTATTCTCACTGCCTTTTCCCCCATAATGTTGCAGGTGATGATTTGGAGCCATTGTTACTATTTCGGGTCTTAGAGGTTCTGCACTCAGCCTATAAAGCTGGACATATCCAAATTGCAGACCACATTAGTTTTCTTTTCACTTTGCTCTCACGCTTCAAAGTTTTTCCTGGTACCTTTTCAACTAATTCTTTCATGGCCCTAGTATTTCTGTATTAGTTACCCGCTACAATCTAGTTTTTCTTCTTCTTCCTATGAGTGTTTAGGATGCTAATGTTGCATAATTATAACATTTTTGTTGCAGTGGCAGGCNTACCTTTTCAACTAATTCTTTCATGGCCCTAGTATTTCTGTATTAGTTACCCGCTAAAATCTAGTTTTTCTTCTTCTTCCTATGAGTGTTTAGGATGCTAATGTTGCATAATTATAACATTTTTGTTGCAGTGGCAGACAATCTTCTCATCTCTAGTTTCATGTGCATTACAATAGTTATTGCTTTTGAAGTTGGGTAAATTACATCCAAACCCCTTGAAGTTATTCACCAGGATCCCTATGAATATTTGAAAATAACAGTACACCAACTAATGTACGCGTGTTACACACAGAGCCCTAGCCCTAGCGGCAATGTTTGCTAGATAAGCCGTCAAAATTACATGTAGTCAATAAATTATGCATAAATATTGCCTAAACGACCCTCTTCCTTTTCTGAACTTTCTCTCTCTCTCTCTATATATATATATTTATATATATATTTNCATAAATATTGCCTAAACGACCCTCTTCCTTTTCTGAACTTTCTCTCTCTCTCTCTCTCTCTATATATATATATGTATGTATTTCTCTTGCTCTTTACATTCTCCTATGATTTCCTTCAGGGTTAACCACACTTTGCCTCTCTTTCTTTCTACAGCCCCTCCCTGAAACCCACCTGATTAAATCTCTCTTTCTCTCTCTCCTGTGTGTGTTGGCTACTCCTCCCTTGACTTCCGTCTTGGTCAAAAGCACAGCTCAATCTTTGTTACATCGTTGTGGCCCAAAACACCATGCCTTGGGTTCACTGCTGTTGCTGACTGCAAGACAACAGTAGGGCTTTTTTTTAGTCTCTCCAAGTATTGTGTTTTTAGCTGGGTGCATGGTCGCTGCACCTTGTGGTGCTATGAGTTTTGAATCTAGATTACTGGGGATGTAAGAGGTGTCACTGTATCTGATGTGTTCTTGCTGACTCATTGTAGGCTAGCCACAAAACTGAAATTTGAGGAGACAGAAACAGTAGGCTTAACGTAGTAAATTACAAGTGAATATTTTTTCTTATATCAAAATTTTTTTCAAGCAAGACATAAAAATTATAAGTAACAAGCACTACAAGATTTGGTGGACCCAGTAAATAAGATATGTCACGGAACAGAGAAAAAAAAAAAATCCAAAACTAGACAACTTACAGAACAAACAAAACAGAGAAGCAATCAGTGGACCTAGTAGCAAATTTGGAAAAGATAATGACTAAAAAAAGAGAAGAAAAGAGAGTAACCCAAAAAGATGGGCAACAAACAAATCAGTTGCTTGTAGTAATTGGGGAACCCAATTGTAGAAGAAGAAAAACTTCAAACTGGGAAGATTGATGAGGAACCAGTATGTTGAAGAATTTGTTGAGCAACGCAAAGAGTGGCTTCAAGGGACTTGTGCTTGAGCCCCAAGCTTGCACCTTTTGCGTTTAATCCACACTTTTCTACACTCACCTCACCTGGACTCCCTGAAGTGCTACACTTATGCCTTGGCCCTTGGCCCTAGGTGTGCAGCATAGTTGTCAAATCGCAATTCGTATCGTGAATCGAAATCTTAAATTTGAGAATCGTGAATCGTAAGATTTGACACAAAATTTGAACAAAAATAAAAAAATAATACTACATATTTAAAATAGAAAAAATATTGAATATTGAACATTATTGCATTCTAAAAATAATTTATTGACATAATTATGTCATCTAAATGGAAAGACATTAGCCTTTTGCTTCATTTTCATCTTTTAACTATTTTCAAATTCAACAACTTGAAAAAAAATTTCATTAAAGAACCATGACTATTCAAGAATCAAAATAGTGATACTCAATATAGATTAAGTTATAAACATGAATGAAAAAAGAACAAATAAAAAAATTGATTGGGAGAAAACATACATGCTAACATTTTGAAACAAAAAATTAGAACTAACAAACTATCCATGAAAGAGTTGAAAGCAAAAATCAACCGATGATACAAGAGCGTTAACTGTGACCTTTAACTTTAGACAATGCAAGATGAGCATTAGACGACGTCAGAGAGATAACGAGCAAAGAGGTTCAGTTTTTATTAGGGCGTGGGTTCCTATGCAAACAAAATGACGTCATTTTATTGTTTAGCGGACAAAACGATGTCGTTTTGCAAAAAATTTGGATTTAAAAAAAAAATAATTGAATTGTGCGATTCATGCGGTACAGAGCGAATTGTACGATTCAGGTGCGATTCAACTTTAAAACGATTCTTATATAAGATACGAATTGTTTTGTACTTGTATTGAACCGAATCATACGAATCGAATCGCGAATCGTATGATTTTGATAACTATTGTGTGCACCTTTTACAACACTTGGCATGTGTGTGTGTGAGAGAGAGAGAGAGAGAGAGAGAGAGAGAGAGAGAGAGAAGTTGCTCTGATGCGCGTGTGCATATTAGGTGCATGGACATGGTTGTTACAGCTTATGTAGCAATACAGGAGTGGAATGAAATATAAAACACCTGCAGCTGAATGTTACACAGGCTAGTTTGGAGTCTAGGGTAAAGTAGCTTCTTATTTTTGTGCTCATTTTTCCAAACTTATTCTTTTAGTGATTGGCATAAGGATATATTGACTATATAATTAATAAGATCAAATGGGAATGAAAGTGGTAATCTATTGGGAATGTCACTGTTGACTAATTTTGTGAACATCACATTTTTTCAGTTGCTGAGAAGTTAGGCCATCTCACAGGGTCTCAATCTTTCTTGTTAGAATCACATAACTGGTAGATTTTTTTCTTTGCCGAAGCTTTTTTTAGTTTGGTATACTGTAAATTATAGTGAAGACTACTCACATAGGGGCGGAGCCACCTTTGGACATGTGACCACCCGACTTTTGGAAACCCCCGTTATATGGTAGTAGTGACCATAATTTTGTTCATTTAAGAATCTCTCTTCCCCCCCTCCCCCCCATCCCTTTTTAATTTTGTAAAACTTTGTATAGTGGTAATAAACTTTTTATTTGTAGTTAGTTAGTAGTCCATTGACCCTTAAAACCAATTTCTAATCTTGAATCGAGTAAAGACTATACAAAATATCATAGTGACCAACAACATTACATCTCTTCTATTTGATGAATTATCCCCTATTTTTTTTATATATTCAATTGTACAAATGCTCTCAATTATTTCTTTGCAAGATGGTAACCTGCTCTAATCCAAAAGTATTTTTTGCTATTTCAAAGATTCAATTTTTTAATATAAGATGGAGGATGATCTCAACTAAGTGTCGCTAAAAAAAATGAGGAATAATTTTGTGATAGACTTGTGAGTGAGATTTGAAAGAATATTGTGTCCCACTTTATAAATGATTGGCTTGAAAAGCCTTTTGAAATTTTTTTGTATCTATTTTGTTTAGGCAAAAAGAAACTTGTTTTACAGTTTCATATAGCAATTTAATCTTAAATCTGGATATATTTTATTGGACCTAAAATTTTATTGTATCAATTGGTGAATTTTTTTCATAGTATTTTGCCCTCCCTACCCTGAGAAACCTGGCTCCTCCCCTGTATAATTGCAAAAGATTTGGATTGGAAGATAGTATAGAAAACTAGCCACAGATAGTGTTCGACCAGTACATGTTATGTATTGTTTTTATGGTGACATTATAGAATATTTGCATAGTTGTTAAGATTGGTGAGGGAAGCAAATCAGCTGTTCACGGTCAGATTGTTTATTAACACAATCAGAGCATATTGGAATCTTCTTGCTCCTTAGCATCTATTGCGATTGTCCTTTCATCTACAATTTATTGACTTTCATATCTGTACAATATGTCCGACCTGACCATGTGATCCTGTTGGGAAAAGGTTGACAATTTCCTTGGTTACGGAAACAATCTATTTGAGGATTATATTATGGTCACTTTGTTGCCTCTGTGTTCAGTGCCATATCCCCAGGAATTTGTTAATGCACTGTTTTGTAGCTTATCAAATAGTGAGGGTCAAATCTCGTCATATTGAGTTGCTTATAATTAGGAATACATACAGCATGAGGAGCAGCCTTCTGTAATTTTGTCCCGTTTTAATATTGTTATCAATGAATCTGTATGGTAAGTGAGAGGTTTGTATATCTAAGCTGGGTAGGTAGATTTTTATGCACACATTGAATGTTCTTACCTGAACCTAAGAGTTCTTGTTACTGACGAGGTGTGGAGTGAAATGATAGAGTTGAATCTGTCTGATGTATTCAAAATTTAGAATTGATAGACTTCTTTCTTAAGGGAGAACAGGAGAAGATAATTTCTTTTAAAGCATGTAACATGATCTAATATATTTGCATTGGCTACTTTGAAACTTGCATGTTTACACCATTGTTTTAGTTCAAATTCAATTTGAAAAGGGGACTGTTTTGCAGAAAAGATCTATTCTGTTATGGAGGATGGCGACAAGTCAAATCGTGGAACTTTTAAATTAATCACTAGTGTTGTTTGCTCTTGTCTGTCTGAGATCGGTGATGATTATCTTGTTGTACAGATGCTAGAGAAAATAATTTTGGACCAGATAGTAAGTTGACATAAGTTAATGTTTGATTTTTTTAAATGATTTGTTAATGTTCTTGATGCAGACGGGATCCTCTTACTGTAACTTTGTTTTTGTTTCAGTCACTCAAACCACCTGTAGACAATATCTGTGCTTTGCTTCGAATGCTTATTACAGTGGACTCAAAGCCCACAAGACTTTCTGAACAGAGTATCACCAATTTAAGCAATTTCCTTCCGGGATACCTAATTGATGCTGTTTCTGTAAGTCATACTTTATATTCAGTTCTTTGATATGACTCCATCTGCTTTGTATGCTTCACTTCGTCTTCTCCAATTGGGTTGGCAGTGTGGTCTTTTGGTTTTCTTGACTAATTACAGAAATCATATTAAATGCTTCTTCTTTTTTTTCTTACTTAATACAATGCTTGGATACCTTACTAATGAAATGCTGCAATTAGAAGGGATACTTATAACAAATAATTCTCAAGGGAAAAGATTTATTGGAATAATTCTTTATACACTCATATTTCAAACCCTTCATTTTGCACAAGTGTGGAGAATTGGAATTTTGAATGATAACCATTGCACAGGTTTAGGATGCATCTCACCCCTTCAAGTTATACATATGGCTTTCTAATGACAGCTTTTACTACTAAAATTGGAGTTCCTAGAAAAAATGCCCAACCCAAGTTAAAAAATACAAAACAGAAATGAATTAAATGGGACAATCGAGCAAACATTCAAGTATTATACCCCAGCAGATGCCGACCCTGCATCGGTGAGAAGATATACATCCAACCATACTTGTAAGCATATTTGATGAGCAGCCGCAGCTTAATATTTGATGTGCAACAACTGATATTCTAGTCTTAGGCCACAAGGACAGCAAGAGTTCTCCCAAGATGAAACTACCAAAGAAGCACAGAATTTCTAGTTTAACACTAAAAAATGTCCAAATTCTCGATGGAGTACAATAAAATTCTGTATTAATCAATACGTCCAATGTGGTACTTAAATATTTGGAATTTGCGAAGGGCATGGAGAATCTTTATGTTGAAACTTTTGTGTTTAATTTAATATGGCAAACAAAGTGCATGGCATGGAATCGGGTAGGGAGGGTAAGGCAAGGGGTTTGGTCCAATGAGTTAGTCTTGTTTAAATATATGGGGCACCAAGATGGATGCCTTGGGTCTACATTTTAAAGCTCAGGATTCAATGGTTTGTTTTATATTTTTATGCGTTATTGATTGTAAGAGCAAGTTATTGTTTTTTTTTTGTGGCCTACCAAAATATTTATAAGTTGAACTGATTCAAATAGGTTCCTTGAAATCTTTACTCTTGGGCTTGTGGTACCGAATGTGTTTCCTCTTCTGTGATTGTTTTTTTTTTTTGGAAGTAGAGGTAGTTCCTCTGTCATGTCGATGACATTGTTTGATCCTATTGCTGATGATGTCGGCCCAACAACTACGAACTTCTTTTTTATTGAATTGCAGTCCATTCCAGAAGATGATAACAAGTCCAGCATCCTNTACTCTTGGGCTTGTGGTACCGAATGTGTTTCCTCTTCTGTGATTGTTTTTTTTTTGAAGTAGAGGTAGTTCCTCTGTCATGTCAATGACATTGTTTGATCCTATTGCTGATGATGTCGGCACAACAACTACGAACTTCTTTTTTATTGAATTGCAGTCCATTCCAGAAGATGATAACAAGTCCAGCATCCTTATTCGCATAAGCAGCATCCGTTATTACCTCCTGCCGTGCTTTTTCTTATTCTACAGGAGCGACAGACTGCTAAATCTTGTGTTAGACGGGATGGGATCATTGGTCACTGACAATGGTTCATCACCATTCTCTCATCATCATGTTGCTTATGCGAATGACTATTCGAGTAGGATAGCTGGAATTGTTTCTGTCTTACTACTACTGCATAAGGATGCTAAAATTCACAAAATTCTCTTGTCGTGCAAGATAGGGATTTACAGTATACTGCAGAAGATACAATCACTGCAGGTATGATTTTGCACCGCAAACACAACTTCTAGTAATCCTTTCACCGTCTAAGACTTCCTCACCTCTTTACGTGGACAACGGCATATCTAAACAATGTCCATGTTCTTGATGGAGAGACAAAGTATGCCCTTTGTGAATTGTTGTCATCATGGCTGTATTTTTATATATGACAAAACAAGGATTTTGCAATTTCATATGTGGATTGGGATGGTATAATAACAAAGTTGAGGTTATAAATGAGGAGATGCCTGTTCATTTAGTTTTGTTTCGACAATTCAGTTTCCGGTTTTATTGCATCTTTTCATGTTGTAATTCACGTGATGCATGCTTATATATTCTTACCTATATGCTAGTTGTGACTACTGCAGCACATCTGTAAGAGACGTAATCTCGTTCTTTGAAAAGAACGTATCATTTCAGCACAGCCAAACTTTTAACATAGATAGCACGGTGCTCTTTGTCAATTAAAACTACTGATATATTCAACTAGGTGCTGGAGTATTTGCATCCTCCCATGCACCCAAGTGTTGTAGTAACATTTGTTTGGGTTGAAATTTTTTCTTTCTTTTCTCCACCTTTTGGAAGTAAGCTGCCTTATATTGCATGTGGGGATTGGCATGGATGCCTAGCAGGGAAAGTAAAAGAATCAAACCCAGCTTTATCCAAGTATGCTGATAATTGTTTGAATGGCTACGAATAATCAAGTCTACGATTAGCTAATTAAACATATAATCTGTGCCGCCAACAGGACCGCAGCTTGACCAGATATGCTAAGAAGTATCGTGTCTCAATAATAATCTGTTTTACAAACTATCATTGCTAGGAAATCAGCCTATAGGCTGTTCTAATGATTGGCGTGTTAGAAATCAATTATAGCATGAATATTCTTCAAATGCAACAAAGTTTTGTGTTGTTCACAGTTACTATATATTCCATGAAACATCAAACTATGGGTAAGCACTTTAAAATCCAATGCTGTTATAGTTGATTCCATTCTGAATTATTTAAATGGTTCAAGGGAACTTATAGTGGTTTAGCAACTTGGTTGATTATTTTAGATAATGGTTGATATGTGGAATTGAACCCTCAAATGACTTTACAAAATAATGGATACTCTTTGAAGAGTGCTATGTATGTTCCTCAATGTGCATATGCATACATGCATGTATGGATGCACACACATGTATATGCCGGAAAGTGATTAGTGAGGTTTATTTGCATGAGTAGTGTTGCTTGCCTTTTTTGAGAAATCATAAGGGAGGAGGCACAAGGATGATCATTAAATTTGCTTTATGGGGGTGAAGTGGAAGCTGCTCTTTTGCCTAAAAAGGGGTCCTTGCCCTCGGGAGAGAGCAGACATTCTTGTCTTGCGGTCAGGTTTGCACAAAGATTTAAAAAAACTAAATAAATCCCTTTGGGTATCCAAACTATCAAATTCATGGCATTAGGGCGTCAACTGTGGAGTGCTTGTTTGGCCATTCTGTTCTATGTTCAGACCTTGGTATAAACTAAAATAACCTTTCCTTATGTTATGTTTACAGTACTAGTTTTCAGACAAATTTGATATGTATATCAATTATTTCCCCTTTGCATGGGTGCAGTCTTCTGAGGAAATCAAGATGACTATAGAAGAAAGGCACAAGATACAATGTGCATTTGATCGACTGAAGGTTGTGATGAGTGCATCTTTCAGTGGGATACCAGTAAACTAACACAGTATTTTTAAACAAAGTAAGTCTTCTTCCCTCTTTTTAATTTTTCAGCATCAGAAAAAACATTTGCTTTGTGCCTATTTATTTTGCTTCTGTGCTATATCACTGTTTGTTTTCCTTTTTGGTTTGTCATGTGAGATCATTCAGCACTTTGCCAGAGGCTTATCTATTAAAACACATTTTCTATTGCAGGACTTTTAAGAAGGGCATCTTATGTGTAGTTGTGTTCGCGTGGGTGTGTGATATATCTGCAGGCATTAACGGCCTCTGGGGGGAATATGTTCGTAAGTTCATCAATATTAGTTGATNTATCTATTAAAACACATTTTCTATTGCAGGACTTTTAAGAAGGGCATCTTATGTGTTGTTGTGTCCGCGTGGGTGTGTGATATATCTGCAGGCATTAACGGCCTCTGGGGGGAATATGTTCGTAAGTTCATCAATATTAGTTGATGCAATTGGATGTAAGGCGGAAAAAATTCCTTCATCCAAGTTGTCCATTGCATTGGGCTACAACATGGCCTACCCTAACTTTGGATGGGCTTGGACTTTCAGACAGAGCTTGCCTGGGGGATGAGAAGCCTCAATCTAGCAAAACTCAACTTGCGGTTGGGCAGAGGTCTATGTCGACCCAAACAATCCCTGACCAACCCCACTTGCACTTCTGCATATAAGCATCTTTTTTCTTTATTGTGTTCTTTCCTTGAAGAGGGAAATTGAAGTTCAGTAAAAGCCTGAAGGCATGCAAAAATACACCCCCCTTCCCCGTTTCTTTTCATCTCCCTTTTGGTCGTTTTGTCTTAAAACTAGATTGTTTTTTTAACTTGGTGGTAGTGTTGGCGTTCCTTATGTCATAATATAAGTCACCTAAAACCTTGATAGGTAACCGATCTTTCTCATAGATCTCAACTACAACCTGTATTGATTAATTTGTGTAACAATTTCTCTTGCTCTTTGCTTCTTATCTCCATCCTTTTACTTTACAGAATATTTCATCCAACGAGCATGGTGGGAACAGTTAGAAGCATTTCTTGACAAGTACTATGAAAATTTTCTTATTAGCCTTGAGTTTGGAGTGGTTTGCCTAACTTGTTGGATGATGCTGGTGTGAAGGATTATATAAGTGTATGTGGGAACACAACTAGCCTGCCCAAGTGGTCTATTTGAGTAAATACCGGCACCCCAATGTAAGCATCTGAAGCGTGCTCATGCCGTTCCATTACGTACATCTGCAATTTTGTATTGTGTAGCAGGTGGACTACCTTTTTCGTCTTTCTTTCTTACTTCAATTTTGTACAGCAAGTGAAATTTTGATTGTTAGTAAATATAACATCTCTCTCTCTCTCTCTCTCACACACACACACACACACACACACACACACACACACACACACACACACACACAAGGGGATACATGTATATTTTGAACATATTTTATTCAACATAATACTGTATTAGTGAGATCAGTGGGAAATTGTCATTTTCTGTATCAGAATGTCAAATGTTATGTGAATGTCAACATGATTTTGAGAGCTGCAGGGTGTATGTGTGTGTGTGTGGATTGAGATGAAACTCAAGAATAGTCTCCACTGGGATGGCCCATTTTGTGTTGGGCCAAGTGGATTAATCGGCCTGGGTTTGTCTCACATCATGGGTGGATATATCAATAAATAAAGCATATATTAGAAAAAAATGCCAGATTTCTCCAATCTTTTAGACACTACGGTGTTATAGAAAATAATAAAGTATAATTTCTTACTGAGTCAAATGTAAATATAGATTTTATTCTCAATTCTAGAAATTATGTTAAAGTAAAGTAATAGATCTTCAAATTCATTAATGCTCTGATTGCATTTTCTATCCGTAAAGGTNTCTCTCTCTCTCTCTCACACACACACACACACACACACACACACACAAGGGGATACATGTATATTTTGAACATATTTTATTCAACATCATATTGTATTAGTGAGATCAGTGGGAAATTGTCATTTTCTGTATCAGAATGTCAAATGTTATGTGAATGTGAACATGATTTTGAGAGCTGCAGTGTGTGTGTGGATTGAGATGAAACTCAAGAATAGTCTCCACTGGGATGGCCCATTTTGTGTTGGGCCAGGTGGATTAATCGGCCTGGGTTTGTCTCACATCATGGGTGGATATATCAATAAATAAAGCATATATTAGAAAAAAATGCCAGATTTCTCCAATCTTTTAGACACTACGGTGTTATAGAAAATAATAAAGTATAATTTCTTACTGAGTCAAATGTAAATATAGATTTTATTCTCAATTCTAGAAATTATGTTAAAGTAAAGTAATAGATCTTCAAATTCATTAATGCTCTGATTGCATTTTCTATCCGTAAAGGTCGTCTTCTTGGTAGATTGTGGTTCAATCCATGGGCCCAATACAAGTAAACACATGCAAGAATATCTAATTTAAAATAAAAAATGGTTAAAAAATAAATTTTTTAAGACCAATCCAATGGGCAATCAACCGAAGACTCAATATTTCTGCAATAAAATTGTAGTGTTTTTGGGATAATCTCTAAGTAAGCCTCTGATGACTAGTCAAATTCACTATCAAAATTTATTTAACTTATATTTAATTCATTTATAATCTTATATTTTTAATTTTGTGTCGTGTTCCAAAAAAAAAAAAAAAAAAATTTTTGTGTCATCATTTTGTATATAAATCATATTTAATCAGATTTATGTCGTGTTTAGCTAAATACCATTATTTTGGTGGGTCTGAACCGACGGAGTACCCCTTTCATCTAAAATCATTAAACTTAAATACAAACTTGTTAATTTTTTTTTGAGTAATGTTATTTAAAGTTAAAAATTTGATTTAATTTACTGACATAATGACGTGGCTTAATAAGAATCATTGGATCTATATCAAGTTTTAATGTTTGATTGAGCCTATAGTCAATCTAATGTCACAATAAATTATGTCAGTAAATTTTATCTCGTTAAATGTCAATCGTACTTATTGGCGGTAAAGTTTAACCAAAATGATATAGAACATTTTGGCGCTAAAACAAAACAACACATCTCCCNGGGTGGATATATCAATAAATAAAGCATATATTAGAAAAAAATGCCAGATTTCTCCAATCTTTTAGACACTACGGTGTTATAGAAAATAATAAAGTATAATTTCTTACTGAGTCAAATGTAAATATAGATTTTATTCTCAATTCTAGAAATTATGTTAAAGTGAAGTAATAGATCTTCAAATTCATTAATGCTCTGATTGCATTTTCTATCCGTAAAGGTCGTCTTCTTGGTAGATTGTGGTTCAATCCATGGGCCCAATACAAGTAAACACATGCAAGAATATCTAATTTAAAATAAAAAATGGTTAAAAAATAAATTTTTTAAGACCAATCCAATGGGCAATCAACCGAAGACTCAATATTTCTGCAATAAAATTGTAGTGTTTTTGGGATAATCTCTAAGTAAGCCTCTGATGACTAGTCAAATTCACTATCAAAATTTATTTAACTTATATTTAATTCATTTATAATCTTATATTTTTAATTTTGTGTCGTGTTCCAAAAAAAAAAAAAAAAAAATTTTTGTGTCATCATTTTGTATATAAATCATATTTAATCAGATTTATGTCGTGTTTAGCTAAATACCATTATTTTGGTGGGTCTGAACCGACGGAGTACCCCTTTCATCTAAAATCATTAAACTTAAATACAAACTTGTTAATTTTTTTTTGAGTAATGTTATTTAAAGTTAAAAATTTGATTTAATTTACTGACATAATGACGTGGCTTAATAAGAATCATTGGATCTATATCAAGTTTTAATGTTTGATTGAGCCTATAGTCAATCTAATGTCACAATAAATTATGTCAGTAAATTTTATCTCGTTAAATGTCAATCGTACTTATTGGCGGTAAAGTTTAACCAAAATGATATAGAACATTTTGGCGCTAAAACAAAACAACACATCTCCCTATCAGTCAGCTCACTCACACAACAATGGAGGCAACGAAAAACAGGACGATGCAGTCAAAGATCAGTTCCTTCTTTAAACCCACTTCTTGTTCTGCACAGAAAAGCCCACACCCACCTCCGGATTTCGACAATTTATTTGACGACGAGGCTCAGTTTAATTCCAAAGAACCAGAAATCCTTGTCACGTACAAGCGCAGAGCTCCAAAACCAGATGGGTAAAGACTCTTTTAGTTTATTTCTTGTTTAGATTGCGTTTTTGTTTTGAATTTGAATTTGAAGTTCCANTCTTCTTGGTAGATTGTGGTTCAATCCATGGGCCCAATACAAGTAAACACATGCAAGAATATCTAATTTAAAATAAAAAATGGTTAAAAAATAAATTTTTTAAGACCAATCCAATGGGCAATCAACCGAAGACTCAATATTTCTGCAATAAAATTGTAGTGTTTTTGGGATAATCTCTAAGTAAGCCTCTGATGACTTGTCAAATTCACTATCAAAATTTATTTAACTTATATTTAATTCATTTATAATCTTATATTTTTAATTTTGTGTCGTGTTCCAAAAAAAAAAAAAAAAAAATTTTTGTGTCATCATTTTGTATATAAATCATATTTAATCAGATTTATGTCGTGTTTAGCTAAATACCATTATTTTGGTGGGTCTGAACCGACGGAGTACCCCTTTCATCTAAAATCATTAAACTTAAATACAAACTTGTTAATTTTTTTTTGAGTAATGTTATTTAAAGTTAAAAATTTGATTTAATTTACTGACATAATGACGTGGCTTAATAAGAATCATTGGATCTATATCAAGTTTTAATGTTTGATTGAGCCTATAGTCAATCTAATGTCACAATAAATTATGTCAGTAAATTTTATCTCGTTAAATGTCAATCGTACTTATTGGCGGTAAAGTTTAACCAAAATGACATAGAACATTTTGGCGCTAAAACAAAACAACACATCTCCCTATCAGTCAGCTCACTCACACAACAATGGAGGCAACGAAAAACAGGACGATGCAGTCAAAGATCAGTTCCTTCTTTAAACCCACTTCTTGTTCTGCACAGAAAAGCCCACACCCACCTCCGGATTTCGACAATTTATTTGACGACGAGGCTCAGTTTAATTCCAAAGAACCAGAAATCCTTGTCACGTACAAGCGCAGAGCTCCAAAACCAGATGGGTAAAGACTCTTTTAGTTTATTTCTTGTTTAGATTGCGTTTTTGTTTTGAATTTGAATTTGAAGTTCCACGATTTGCTTTATTAAAATCACTGCATTTTCTCCTCCAAATCGTCCTTTCTTTCACTCCAATTTATCAATGATATAGTATTTGTGTCGGTACTCATAACAAGTTCTGATATTCTTGGTTTCATATATTCAGTGCGTGGGGTTGTGGGGCGGGTTATTTGTGGGTGTTCTAGTTGGGATAGGAACCCAGCTGCTTGAAATCTCAGTATGAGAAATTCTGCACTCAGTGCTGACATTTTTGGGTCTTTTATTTGTGTGGCTATAGCAGGACAAATGATGGGTCAATTGTGGAAACGTTGAGCCAAAGAGATTTGGGGGTTTTGGTACCCAAACAGGATTTTGCTAAATCTGGGAAAGTTCTGAACAAGAAGAGAAGCNTCTGAACCGACGGAGTACCCCTTTCATCTAAAATCATTAAACTTAAATACAAACTTGTTAATTTTTTTTTGAGTAATGTTATTTAAAGCTAAAAATTTGATTTAATTTACTGACATAATGACGTGGCTTAATAAGAATCATTGGATCCATACCAAATTTTAATGTTTGATTGAGTGTATAGTCAATCTAAGGTCACAATAAATTATGTCAATAAATTTTAGCCATTCGTACTTATTGGCGGTAAAGTTTAACCAAAATGACATAGAACATTTTGGCGCTAAAACAAAACAACACATCTCCCTATCAGTCAGCTCACTCACACAACAATGGAGGCAACGAAAAACAGGACGATGCAGTCAAAGATCAGTTCCTTCTTTAAACCCACTTCTTGTTCTGCACAGAAAAGCCCACACCCACCTCCGGATTTCGACAATTTATTTGACGACGAGGCTCAGTTTAATTCCAAAGAACCAGAAATCCTTGTCACGTACAAGCGCAGAGCTCCAAAACCAGATGGGTAAAGATTCTTTTAGTTTATTTCTTGTTTAGATTGCGTTTTTGTTTTGAATTTGAATTTGAAGTTCCACGTTTCTTTTTTAGAACTGCAGTGTTTTTATTTTGATATTTCTAACGATTTGCTTTATTAAAATCACTGCATTTTCTCCTCCAAATCGTCCTTTCTTTCACTCCAATTTATCAATGATATAGTATTTGTGTCGGTACTCATAACAAGTTCTGATATTCTTGGTTTCATATATTCAGTGCGTGGGGTTGTGGGGCGGGTTATTTGTGGGTGTTCTAGTTGGGATAGGAACCCAGCTGCTTGAAATCTCAGTATGAGAAATTCTGCACTCAGTGCTGACATTTTTGGGTCTTTTATTTGTGTGGCTATAGCAGAACAAATGATGGGTCAATTGTGGAAAAGTTGAGCCAAAGAGATTTGGGGGTTTTGGTACCCAAACAGGATTTTGCTAAATCTGGGAAAGTTCTGAACAAGAAGAGAAGCTATGCCCAGTTCCATTTAGAGTTGGGTCAGTCTGATTTTTTATTGCATACATGTGCTACATGTGGGTTCAATTATGCTACTGGTGATGAAGGGGATGAGGAGGTGCACAAGACATTTCACAAGAATTATACACATGGCATTCGATTCAAGGTAGTTTCATATAATTTGTGGGTTTATTTAATATGTGATTATTTGGCTTGTTTATGAGTTGAATTAATCAAAGTATGGCCTGGTGTTAAAGGGTTGGTGCAAGGAAAGAGTTATTCATCTGTCCTCACTTGAAAGGAGCCGCATCATTTTGGTGTTGGATGGTGACCCTCCTGCTCAGAGAAACAAGGTTCTCGAGTTGCACATTGACATATCTAGTAAATATATTGACTGCCTCTAGGTGTGATTACTAGTTTAGTAAGTTAATTATTTAAAGCCTTAAGTGAAATGGTATATTGGCAATTTTGCAGGTTCAGGAGGTTCTCAAAATTATGGAGATGGAGCTTGGAGATGGATGGATATTTCATGAGCACTGTAAGGTGGTTAAATATGGCATCTATTTTGGTACACAGAATAACCTACAGTATAGTTTATTGTACCAAATTTCTTTGCAATGTTTGACCTCCTCATAAATTAATTAGCATCAAAACTTTCTGCTTTGTGATTAAAATTCCAGATTATGCATTAGTTGTGTGAAAATATATTGGATCAATGCAAACTGTTTGTCAAATAGCAGAATTGTGCCTTGTGCTCTAGAATTACAATGCATACTTTTGTTGCTTATTCATTCAATACCATGTCCCAACATTAGCTTCCTCTAAACACGACCTAAAAAGTTGAAAGAATTTAGTGGTTTCTTACTGACTTCCGGGTGTAATGTTTTTTAGTTCTAGAATAGTTTTAGCACCCAGGAGTTATTTAGTATAATCCCTTCGCTATGCAAGAGATTTTGACTGCATTTGTCTTTGCAGGTGTATCTATTTATTTTATCCAATAGGATTGCCGGCTGTTTAGTTGCAGAACCAATAAATAAGGCCTACAGGGTTCTCTTAAGCTCTGTTGATGGGAGAGCGGATGGTACTTGTGCACAGGAAAAAAGAGTGAATTCAACTTCCCTCCAATTTGGATGTGTTAGGTTCCAGAGAGAAGCGGTAGGAAGGGCCCGATCAGCTAAAATTCCTGAGATATTGGATGGGAACCACAATGGCGCAATCTTCTGTGAAAAAGAAGCTGTACCTGCTCTCTGTGGCATTAGAGCCATTTGGGTGTCTCCCGCCAACAGAAGAAAACATATTGCCAATCATTTACTGGATGCTGCAAGGTAACTTCATAATAATATCCATCTTAGGCTTTAATTTTTCTCTTTTTTGGGGTATTTTCTGTTCATTTTTTGTTAGTATTCCTTCATGTGACTCCTTAAAATAGAAAAAGTCAAAATAAAGTTTATTTCTACAATGGCAGAAAAGATGAAACAGAAAACATTTTTACAAAATTGTGAAGGTGCATTTTAGTTTCTAACCCTGCCTGAACCAGATATACCCCAAGTTTTTTCATTTTTTTGGCATGGCTAATTTAGATCATTAGAAAAGCCATGTATCTTGAAAGATTTCTCACTTGTAAGTTGCCAAGGAATGAGTTTTACTTTATTATTACACTAGATGCCATTGTGATAAATCCTTGCAACAGCGAACAAGAGCTTTTCCTTCCCTGTAAATTGCATGTGCAGTACTCTCCAAATTATTAGGTTATTTCCGTGCTGAACTTCCTATTAGAAGATGGATATTCCTGGCTTTCAAACTTCCCACTGCACGATGGAAAAGAAACCATTAACAAAGTTGAGTGTATTGATTCAGGAGGATGATTACCAAATGAGCACAAATCGATTGCTATGTGAGAATATTTTCCAAGGCCAACGAGAAAAATTTTGTTTGCTTCAGAAGTTTATCAAGAGGCAACTTCATTCAAAACAATTTTCAAAGAAAAAATGATCAATATCCGGACTTTGGAGAAAACATAGATTGCTTGCTTTCACTTCGATTATGAGATGATTTCAACTGATCAATCAGTTTTTCTTAATTCAAGCTGATAGATCTTTATCAACAATGTGCACCATATCAGAAGCAAGAATTCTTTGAAAGCCATACTTGCCTCACACGTTGAAATGTTTCCTAGGTCTNAACAATGTGCACCATATCAGAAGCAAGAATTCTTTGAAAGCCATACTTGCCTCACATGTTGAAATGTTTCCTAGGTCTCTGTGTCTTCTGGCCATAGATTGTTGCACGATACAATGTGTAACAATCAGGTTACAATTCCAGTCACCCTTCAGTTTCAATGCTCAGAGTTGGTGAGCTCCGGAATTTTTTGTGATAAGCGGAGTTACAATATTTGGATTTCACACAGAACTTTCTTCAATGACAGTTGAGTCGTTCGTTCCTTTGAGTGAATACAAATCAGCAACTCCAATTATCAGAAAGCACAATCTGTTTATCTGATGAGTAGGTGTGAGAGACAACTCACATGCTAGCATTACCATTTATGATGACAGTGCTGCTTAATTTTACTCAGGACTATTGCTTCCAGCTCACCTGTGTTCGTATTTGAAAAACTCCTCTCATCTCCTAAATTTCTTACTATGAACATAGGGCAGCCATGATATGACTGATTCAAAATCTGTGTGCTTGTGTGTGTGTGTGTGTGTGTGTCTCTCTCTCTCTCTCTCTCTCTCTCTCAGTCTCTGCAGCAAGGAACCCGTGCTTCTGGAATCTATTNGGCAGCCATGATATGACTGATTCAAAATCTGTGTGCTTGTGTGTGTGTGTGTGTGTCTCTCTCTCTCTCTCTTTCTCTCTCTCAGTCTCTGCAGCAAGGAACCCGTGCTTCTGGAATCTATTATTCTAGTGGCCATGGCTACCTTTTTTAAGTGATGACAAATAACAAACAGTTTTATTTCTTCTTGCTGACTATAGTTCCTAACCTTAGTTGCAGCCTTAGAATACTAATGAAGAAACTGAACTCATTGCTTTTCAATATATATTGCAGTTTGGAGTGTATCTATGTCATATTTGCTACTGAATGCAGGAAAAGTTTTTGCATGGGTTTGATTCTTGAACGATCACAGTTGGCGTTTTCTCAGCCAACTTCGGTTGGAAAGGCATTGGCATCCAGTTATACCGGCTCTGGTACTTTCTTGGTCTACACTACCTGCTAATTTAAATTAGAGGTAGTTTCGTATAATAAAGTTGACTATTTTTTATCACTCATTGTGATGAATACTCAGCTTGTTTACATTGCTACGATTATGCTAGTGTGTTGTAAAAGTTCTATCCCTTGCTTTATTGGTTGGACTTTGATATAAATTGTGGATTCATTTCATCATATATTAAGTTGTTTGAGTAATTGATAGCCTAACATGATATCAATGTCTTGAATCCAAGTCTCATTGTGTGGTAATCCTGTTGAGTTTGTTTGTGGTGATACAATAGTTTTAGATGTTAGGTGCTTTATAATTTATACACATAACGAGGCCATTTCTACTCACTAAGTTTTTGAAATAGTCATACTTGGACACAAATGGTGGTGTGACTTGTGGGTTGGAGTTATATGCAATTTTTCATCTTCAATGCCGCATTAATCCCCCAAAATACTTCAGGTTTAGCCTGGAGGAACTTGAGCAGATGTTGGCTGAGGTTTTTGAAGAAAAGACCTGCAATGAACCAAAGTGATAGATTTCTCGTGCAATCAAGTGTTGCTTAATTCAAACCTTATCTATTCCAATTTTATTCAGTGAAACTGATTTCATCAAAATAATTGGTCAATAGTACATTTGCATCCCACTAGTTTGTACAAATCTCAATTTGTCATTACTACTTTTAACCAGTGGTATACATGCATGTACCTAATACTAAATCCTACCAGAGTTAAGACACTTGGCCATCTATAATTCCTCTCTATTCTAAGATTTTTTGTCCTCACAAACATTGTTGGCTAGAAATATTGCAGTAAATCCAGGACCCAACCGCACCTCTTTCTGATAATTTACTGTTTTTGTATTTCTGTGCCATAGAAATAAACGCATGACAACCATTAACATTGGCTGCATTGCTTATCTCACAGCATATCTCTAAGAATATGACGTCCTATTTACATCCCTTTTCTCTCTCCTCCCTCCCTCGTCTTCATTGTACATCTCATCTTATCAACATTCTCTGTGACTCCCTCTTCTTCATGTTGGATGCCCTTTCCTTGAGGGATGACCATGGCTTCCACGGATGGAAATCAAAGGAAAGAGGTAATGGGGTACCCCCCAATGAGAGGGCATCCACAAGCAGTGGCACACCCAGGGTACGCCCTGCCATATCAAGGGTACCCCCCACCACAACCTGGCTATCCCAACCTCCCCAACAACAACTTCCAATACACTGCAACTCCCCCTCCCGTCTATTACACGACCTCACAACACTATCTGCCTACAAACCCCGAAAAAACCAGTGGCTACACTTTTGCTCGCTTCATGATGTTCATGATGATTGTGTTAATCGTTGGCATGTTAATGATGAGCTTCGTCTCTTGGATCATGTTTGGATTGGATATCCCTGACTTTCATGTTGAGTCATTGTCTGTGCCTTCTTTCAACGTCACAAACTCGACATTATATGCAAATTGGAACACCAATGTGACCGTTAGGAACCCGAGCAGCAAATTAGAGGTTTATTTTTCTCAAGTTAGGAGTACCCTATCTTACAATGATAATCCTCTAGGCATTTTCATGGTTAAGCCATTTCAGCTGGGGAAAAATGAAGAAACAAGTTTAGAGGCCAAGTTTGTATCACCCAGTAGCTATATATACTCCCCAGACTCTCTGTGGGTGAATGAGATGGCTGATCAACGAAGTAAGGGGTCTGTGTTTTATGATATGAGGTTAAATTTGATGGTTACATTCAAATCTGGATCAATTTGGACAAAAAATGTCGTCTTAAAAGTCATATGTAAGGATTTAGAGGTTCGTTTTCCGGCGGCCACCGGAGGTGGAAATGGAGCATGGCCAGGAGATAATCAGCATGACTGTTACTTGATTGTTTGAATACAATCGTTTTGATCTTCTTCTTGTCCTCTCTCTGCGAGAGATCAGCATTTGGTAGGAGGTACATGCCCTTTTTTTGATCATTATGGTGTGTTTGGTAGGATTATTATTATTATTATTTTTGGACTCAATAGTCTGGAGTTATCGGGTTAGTTTACGTGTATCTTGATTAATGTCCTCTCCTGTCCAATCAAAGGTTGACCATCTACGCTGAGATTAGAGTATTTATGAGGGATAAATTCTTTATGACCTAATTTTNCCTTTTTTTGATCATTATGGTGTGTTTGGTAGGATTATTATTATTATTATTTTTGGGCTCAATACTCTGGAGTGTTCGGGTTAGTTTACGTGTATCTTGATTAATGTCCTCTCCTGTCCAATCAAAGGTTGACCATCTATGCTGAGACTAGAGTATTCATGAGGGATAAATTCTTTATGGCCTAATTCTATAAAGTTGTTAAAATTTGAACTCAGAACGTTTGAAATGTTTGATAAGGTGGATGAAAAAATGAGAGAGAAAGTGAGAATAATATATTTTATATCATTCAATGGAGGAATTATTTTTTATTTTTTCTGTGTTTGGTAGGAATGATAAAAAAGTAAAAATGCTTGATTTTTTTTTGTATTTGGTAGGATGAAAAAATGGAAAGATGAAAAAAATATAGATGTATATTTTATTATTATGTCTATATATGAAATTAATAGATAAATAGTATACATTTTAACACATAATTAATTTTTTATTCACACTTTCTCTTAAAACATACCTAGGTAATGCTAAGAAAAAAAGAGCAATGTTACATGAATTTAAAAATTAAATTTAAAAATTAGATTTGATAATTATAATTATTGATTTCATTGTGGGGTCTCAGTATTTATTGAGATATATTACTTATTTAATGATTGTAATTATTAAATTTATTTTTTAAATTCACGTGACTTTAGTTAAGAAAAATTGTTTGAGCGTGAGCATGTCGCCCCGCCACTGGTTGAATGTGAGCTGTATATACCTCTGGAAAACCTTAACCCACATCAGACGTACGTCACACCAATATGTACCTCATTAATTGTAAACCTTGGTTAAGCATTGGTGTCAGTATCATATGATTATATATAAGATTAATTACACTAGCGGTCCTAAAACTATTAGTGATTTAAATGTTGTCTGCTTAAAGAACCATTCAATAATTTATAGATAAAAATAATATAATTAAAATATTAAAAATTAAAATGAGACAAACTNTTGGTGTCAGTATCATATGATTATATATAAGATTAATTACACTAGCGGTCCTAAAACTATTAGTGATTTAAATGTTGTCTGCTTAAAGAACTATTCAATAATTTATAGATAAAAATAATATAATTAAAATATTAGAGATTAAAATGAGACAAATTTCATTTGTTGGGGGCAACAAGTGTAATTAATCCTTATAGATATACATAAACATTTACATCTGTCGCAGTTGTTCATGTACCTGTTTGGAAAATACTTATTGTATGTACTAATCAGTGTTAGCGTGGAAAACCTAACCGTTGACCGCGTAATTACAGAATTTTATATAATCTAGGCAATAAAGTAGGAATATCATTAAAGCAACTTGATGAGGTTTTGCTTCCCCAAAAAGGGCAAAAAAAAAAAATAAATAAAAAAACAAATTGATGAGGTAGTTGAAAATAGGTTAACATTTTATCACTAGAAAAAACCTCTGAGATAGTCTCTATGGAGATGGTTAGATATTACATAGGTTGCCTGCCTAAGTGTAGTACTATCGATTCTTAACCTAAGTCAGCATATAAATTTAAGTAGCATTGCTTAATAAAATATAAAATCTAATGTAATAAAGTAGTTTATAATTCAAATCTCAAAAGATAAAGANTACATAGGTTGCCTGCCTAAGTGTAGTACTATCGATTCTTAACCTAAGTCAGCATATAAATTTAAGTAGCATTGCTTAATAAAATATAAAATCTAATGTAATAAAGTAGTTTACAATTCGAATCTCAAAAGATAAAGAAAATGACTTTTGTTATTCGCGGTTGAGATCGTTTTAAATTTTATTTTAAAGTTAATCTAATGACTAATATTAACACCCTATATTTAATAGAAAAAATGGGACTCTAAGGGTGTGTTTGGAGTGACTTTTTAAAAGTATTTTTAAAAATTATTTCTCATAAATATTTTAAAAAAAACATAGTGTTTGAAACCGCCCCACCACTATTTCTACCATCACCACCGCCACCACCACGACCACCCCACCGCCACCACCATCGCCTCCACCACCACCGCCTCCACCACCACCACGCCCACCCACCACCGCCTCCACCGCCACCGTCGCTACCGCCACCACCACTTCTATCGTCGCCACAACCACCATCATCGTCGCCGCCCTCGACACCACCACCACCACCACCACTGTCGCCACGGTCATTGCCACCCACCACAACCATCACCATCTCCTCTTACCACCACTGTCACCCACCACCTCTCACCCTCACTACAAATCAATGCTTAAATTCTTTTATCTTTTCTCTATATTTGTGATTTGATTTTGAATATGAATATAAATATATTTTTTATTTTTTATTATTTTGTGTCTTCTGGCACAGATAATAACTAGTTATACACTATTTTATCACCACGACGTAATCATAATAGTCCCCTACTTATTGAAAAAATCAATGACCAAAAAATGTAATCCTAAAACGGTTGTTGATACATCAAATCGATTGAACTATATATATATATATGATGATCTCAAGTCTCAACCTCACCATTGGCGAGAACTTCTACAGTATTGTCAGTGGTATCAATACCTAAAGTTACAACTTATTAAGATTAAGTTATAATTTTAAAGAGTATGATCGATCATGAAATTTTGAGATTGATATCACATTTTTCATGATCGATCAGGGGTGTCTGTGATTGATCTTGATCTCTCTTAATCGATCAGGGGTGTCTGTGATTGATCTTGATCTCTCTTAAGCAGTTGTAACTTCTTCTTTTAAAATTGTAACTTTATTTTACAAAAATAGTAACCTGCAGTACCAATGTCAAAAAAAAAAAANTTTTTAAAAATTATTTCTCATAAATACTTTAAAAAAAACATAGTGTTTGAAACCGCCCCACCACTACTTCTACCATCACCACCGCCACCACCACCATCGCCATTGCTGCTGTCCCCACCACCCCTTCCGCCGCCGTCGCCGCCACCACCTCCACCACCACCCCCCATCGCCGCCATCCCCACCCCTACCACCGTCGTCGTTGCCAGCACCACCACAGTCGTCGCTACCCCCACCAACACCACCACCGCCATCACCACGACCACCCCACCGCCACCACCATCGCCTCCACCACCACCACGCCCACCCACCACCGCCTCCACCGCCACCGTCGCTACCGCCACCACCACTTCTATCGTCGCCACAACCATCATCATCGTCGCCGCCCTCGCCACCACCACCACCACCGTCGCCACGGTCATTGCCACCCACCACAACCATCACCATCTCCTCTTACCACCACTGTCACCCACCACCTCTCACCCTCACTACAAATCAATGCTTAAATTCTTTTATCTTTTCTCTATATTTGTGATTTGATTTTGAATATGAATATAAATATATTTATTATTATTTTGTGGCTTCTGGCACAGATAATAACTAGTTATACACTATTTTATCACCACGACGTAATCATAATAGTCCCTTACTTATTGAAAAAATCAATGACCAAAAAATGTAATCCTAAAACGGTTGTTGATACGTCAAATCGATTGAACTATATATATATATATATATATGATGATCTCAAGTCTCAACCTCACCATTGGTGAGAACTTCTATAGTATTGTCAGTGGTAAAGTTACAACTTATTAAGATTAAGTTATAATTTTAAAGAGTATGATCGATCATGAAATTTTGAGATTGATATTACATTTTTCATGATCGATCAGGGGTGTCTGTGATTGATCTTGATCTCTCTTAAGCAGTTGTAACTTCTTCTTTGAAAATTATAACTTTATTTTACAAAATAGTAACCAGCAGTACCAATGTCAAAAAAAAAAAAGAAGAAATTTCGGTACCATAAAGTTTCCCCACCATTGGCTAGTAGAATTAGCTAGGAAGTATAATTTCACTCAAGGAAGAATGGTTATCACATTACTCAAAGCACAATATTACTAATTAATTTTTTTTTTTGAATTAGCATTAGACATAAATTCTTGTATAGGCATACTAGCAACTAAAAGATTGTGATAAATTAGAGAAATGGTGTATCTATACAAAATTTTGGATCCAAATGATCTAATATATCGATGATTAGTGAAAATTATACGATCTACTAATCTTATGATTCACATCGCATATTAATTTAGAATTAATTATTTTGATCACCCAAAAATTTAAACCCCTTTGATAACTTTTCTTTACAACTTTCACTCGTTACACTTTACACTTTTGCCATTGAACCACAACCCATGGCTAAAGGTGAAAGGTCCCTCTCATTTCCATGCATATATAAACAACTGCTCCCTCTCCTGTCTCTAACAGTAACCACTCCATCCTCAGAGTCCAACACCTACCCTCCGGCAACCACTACCACCTCCACCAGCAAAAACATGGCCAAAGAGTGCAGCCACCACAAGGACAAGCGGCGGAAGCTTATCCGGCGTTGTTTCGCCGGACTTCTAATTTTCAGCTTCATCGTCTTAGTCACCATTCTCATCATCTGGGCCATTCTACAACCAAATAAACCCAGCTTTCTACTCCAAGACGCCACCATCTTCGCCTTCAACGTCTCATCACCCAGCTTCGTCTCCTCCAGCATTCAAGTCACCATCATTTCTCGAAACCCCAATGATAAAATCTCAATTTTCTACGACAAACTCGACGTCTATGCCATATATCAAAGCCAACAGATCACATATTACACTTCCATACCTCCTACTTATCAAGACGTCGGGCAGTCTAACGTGTGGTCGCCATTTATTTACGGCACCATGGTGCCGATAGCTCCGTTCAACGGTCCGGCGTTGAGCCAAGACCAAGCTAATGGGGCAATCTGGCTGTTGATCAAGATTGATGGACGGGTCAGATGGAAAGTTGGGACCTTAACAACTGGGGATTACGGTTTGCATGTCAAGTGTCCGGCGTACATACCTTTCGGAAATGGTAACGGCGGCATCGTTGTCGGTAACGGCGTTAAGTATCAGCTGGCACAGACTTGCAGTGTTAGTGTGTGATCCAGTTAACTTCCTTAATTAAGTATTGATTCTCTATTTTCTTGCCGTTTACTCTTTTATCTATTTTGTTTCACTGTGTACGTCAACCTCAACCAATACATAATGACAAGAACTTCGTGCACCGAGAAATGAATTGTATATTCATGAATAAAATGGAAACAGGGNCGGCGTTAAGTATCAGCTGGCACAGACTTGCAGTGTTAGTGTGTGATCCAGTTAACGCCCTTAATTAAGTATTGATTCTCTATTTTCTTGCCGTTTACTCTTTTATCTATTTTGTTTCACTGCGTACGTCAACGTCAACCAATACATAATGACAAGAACTTCGTGCACCGAGAAATGAATTGTATATTCATGAATAAAATGGAAACAGGGATGAAAGAAATAGCAAAATTACAAGCTTGAAACAAGGTGTATGATTCTGATTACAGTGATATTATGTGGGGGAGAAAGTGTTTTTGAGTTGAAAATTCAAGTGGGCATGAAGGTTAAGGTGTCACTTTCATTCATTTTTCTTATCGAAAATATGGTATTGTTTACTTCATCTTCTTTTTGTTTGATATTATTCTAGGGATAAATTCCATTTTGCCCCCCTAAATGATACAAAAACTATCAGTTTGTCCTCCAAATAATTAATTTTTTTACATTGTCCTTTTAAAGAATAAAAAACGTTACAATGTAATCCATCGTCTTATTTCTATTTAGTCGGTTGTCTATTTTTTGCCAAATTAATAGATCAAGAATTACAAAACAGACGGAATACCAAACAAAAATATGATGATGAACCACATTACAACGTTTTTGANTACTTCATCTTCTTTTTGTTTGATATTATTCTAGGGATAAATTCCATTTTGCCCCCTAAATGATACAAAAACTATCAGTTTGTCCTCTAAATAATTAATTTTTTTACATTGTCCTTTTAAAGAATAAAAAACGTTGCAATGTAATCCATCGTCTTATTTCTATTTAGTCGGTTGTCTATTTTTTGCCAAATTAATAGATTAAGAATTACAAAACAGACGGAATACCAAACAAAAATATGATGATGAATCACATTACAACGTTTTTTANTTAATTAAAATTCCTGTAAAAGTCTAGGTAATTGAGAGGCTTCAACTATGTTCTTCTAAAAGTTTTTTGAAAAGCAGAAAGTAAAAAGGGTTCATAGCTCGTAGGAATTCTTTGAATAGCTCGTAGGAATTCTTTGAACCTGTCTTTGTGTTATCCCATTCATTGGGAATTGAGTCATAACATTTTCTNAAAGTAAAAAGGGTTCATAGCTCGTAGGAATTCTTTGAACCTGTCTTTGTGTTATCCCATTCATTGGGCATTGAGTCATAACATTTTGTAATTTCGAATACTTATCAACAACACTGATTGAAATTCTATTGGTTCGTCGGATACAAAGCCAACGCTGCAAATGACAAAATCGATTTCCATCTTGGGAAGGACTATAAAAATCACTTAAAAAAACCAGAGAACATGACATAGGTGAAGATGAGACATAACAGATTGTTGGGACAGAACACAATATTCTTAAACGGATGACCCACGATATTCTTCATAAGGTAACCCATTTTGGTTGTTATGATGTAAAGCTTCCAAAGTTATAAAAAAATTGACAGCCAGCAAATTTTTATGTAGGGTACAAAGTTTTTTTTGCTTGTGGTGGAGTTTGAAAAAGTAAGAGGTAGGTGGCCTAGCCGTTCTTGCCCTTTAGGGACATGTTTTAATCCAGCTCAAGTTGGGGTGGCCAGCCGCTGAGCTCGAGGAAGTAGTTAGCGCAAAGTTAGACACCTTGTAGCCAAANAGTTTTTTGAAAAGCAGAAAGTAAAAAGGGTTCATAGCTCGTAGGAATTCTTTGAACCTGTCTTTGTGTTATCCCATTCATTGGGCATTGAGTCATAACATTTTGTAATTTCGAATACTTATCAACAACACTGATTGAAATTCTATTGGTTCGTCGGATACAAAGCCAACGCTGCAAATGACAAAATCGATTTCCATCTTGGGAAGGACTATAAAAATCACTTAAAAAAACCAGAGAACATGACATAGGTGAAGATGAGACATAACAGATTGTTGGGACAGAACACAATATTCTTAAACGGATGACCCACGATATTCTTCATAAGGTAACCCATTTTGGTTGTTATGATGTAAAGCTTCCAAAGTTATAAAAAAATTGACAGCCAGCAAATTTTTATGTAGGGTACAAAGTTTTTTTTGCTTGTGGTGGAGTTTGAAAAAGTAAGAGGTAGGTGGCCTAGCCGCTCTTGCCCTTTTAGGGACATGTTTTAATCCAGCTTAAGTTGGGGTGGCCAGCCGCTGAGCTCGAGGAAGTAGTTAGCGTAAAGTTAGACACCTTGTAGCCAAAAAAGAAAAGAAAAGAAAAGAAAAGAAGAGAAGTCGATCCGAGACATTAAACTTGACATGCATTTACTTGGATAGATGGGTGTTTTCAATCTCTGCTTAGGACAAGACTATATGCACCTAACCTTTCTCAAATTCTGCATTAACAAGAGTCTTGTAAAGTATACTGTCCTTTATTATGATACACATAATGCACAATTATAGAGTTTGAAGTATTGGAAGAGTGGGTGTGGTTGGGGGAGGTGGGCACTTCCCTCAGATACTTTCTGTGTGGGTGGTCCTTTTCACCCTCCACGTTCGCTATACCAGCTGATGATTGAATGATAGATAGCAAACTATTACAATGGTCTACAACAAATGGTTCTTATCTTCCATTAGTTTAATGAAAAGTCTTAGCCCACCCAAAGCATATTTAATGTAAACTGTAAAATATAGAGGTGGAAACATAGTGGGCAGGCGTTACTTAAACTAATTTGAGTAAAGAATAATGTTGTAAATACAAATACATTTAGTAAAAATTGAATACTAAATGATGTGGCATGGTNAAGTTTTTTTTGCTTGTGGTGGAGTTTGAAAAAGTAAGAGGTAGGTGGCCTAGCCGCTCTTGCCCTTTTAGGGACATGTTTTAATCCAGCTTAAGTTGGGGTGGCCAGCCGCTGAGCTCGAGGAAGTAGTTAGCGTAAAGTTAGACACCTTGTAGCCAAAAAAGAAAAGAAAAGAAAAGAAAAGAAGAGAAGTCGATCCGAGACATTAAACTTGACATGCATTTACTTGGATAGATGGGTGTTTTCAATCTCTGCTTAGGACAAGACTATATGCACCTAACCTTTCTCAAATTCTGCATTAACAAGAGTCTTGTAAAGTATACTGTCCTTTATTATGATACACATAATGCACAATTATAGAGTTTGAAGTATTGGAAGAGTGGGTGTGGTTGGGGGAGGTGGGCACTTCCCTCAGATACTTTCTGTGTGGGTGGTCCTTTTCACCCTCCACGTTCGCTATACCAGCTGATGATTGAATGATAGATAGCAAACTATTACAATGGTCTACAACAAATGGTTCTTATCTTCCATTAGTTTAATGAAAAGTCTTAGCCCACCCAAAGCATATTTAATGTAAACTGTAAAATATAGAGGTGGAAACATAGTGGGCAGGCGTTACTTAAACTAATTTGAGTAAAGAATAATGTTGTAAATACAAATACATTTAGTAAAAATTGAATACTAAATGATGTGGCATGGTAATGGTCATTGGATGTTTAGTAGAATTAATCCAACTACTATATTGATTTAATAAGAAAATTTGGGTTAAAGTTTAGCAAGCGTAAGATTGTTCATTTGTAAAAACCATTATGTAATTGCATCTTTTCTTGTTTTCTCCCAAGATACTTATGTGGGCTAAATGTTACATTAAACATATATTAGTAGGTAAGCATCATATAATTTAATTCCTATGATATTTGCCTACATTTAAAACATCATCTTATGTTTTTAGGCGCGTAAATTTGTTTTATTTAATATTTATAATTATACTTTGTCCTCCTAAACTAAGATCCCGAATCACTAGGTTCACTTTACTTCCACTGTTTTGTTGTCTTCTATGAAGCTTTATAAAAGGGAAAAAAGAAAAGAAAAGAAAAAAAACAATTNACGTTCGCTATACCAGCTGATGATTGAATGATAGATAGCAAACTATTACAATGGTCTACAACAAATGGTTCTTATCTTCCATTAGTTTAATGAAAAGGCTTAGCCCACCCAAAGCATATTTAATGTAAACTGTTAAATATAGAGGTGGAAACATAGTGGGCAGGCGTTACTTAAACTAATTTGTGTAAAGAATAATGTTGTAAATACAAATACATTTAGTAAAAATTGAATACTAAATGATGTGGCATGGTAATGGTCATTGGATGTTTAGTAGAATTAATCCAACTACTATATTGATTTAATAAGAAAATTTGGGTTAAAGTTTAGCAAGCGTAAGATTGTTCATTTGTAAAAACCATTATGTAATTGCATCTTTTCTTGTTTTCTCCCAAGATACTTATGTGGGCTAAATGTTACATTAAACATATATTAGTAGGTAAGCATCATATAATTTAATTCCTATGATATTTGCCTACATTTAAAACATCATCTTATGTTTTTAGGCGCGTAAATTTGTTTTATTTAATATTTATAATTATACTTTGTCCTCCTAAACTAAGATCCCGAATCACTAGGTTCACTTTACTTCCACTGTTTTGTTGTCTTCTATGAAGCTTTATAAAAGGGAAAAAAGAAAAGAAAAGAAAAAAAACAATTAAGGTCCCGTTTGGTAACGTTTATGTTTTTCGTTTTTCGTTTTTATTTTGATATTTAGAGAAAATAAGAAAAAAAAACTCGTTTGATAACCGTTTTTTTTTCTGTCATCGTTTTATAAACGAGATGCGATTTTCAAAAACGAGAAAAAGACGTTTTTTATTTTATAATTATGTTTTTAGTTTTTTAGAAAATCAAAAATCGTAAACGTTATCAAACGAGCTCTAATATTGCATTTTTTTTAAACTTGAATCGAATTTAAGTGTAAGGGTGCTTGTTGCTTGTGGTTGGTGTATGAGGATTGGAAAAGTCATTTTT